CAAAATGCCAAAACGAATTTTTTAAATAGTTACTTTAAGGTAAATTACCCCTTGGACTAAAATTCTGAAGCATTCAGATTGTTACGTTACTCAAAGGGGTCTTTTAACTTTTCAGCGTGTACTGACTTTAAAATTAAAAAATTCAGTTCTTGCCATTAAAATTCAATTCAACAGCAATATCGCAAATAATTTTAAACTGGCCTATCTTTAGAATTGCACACTGTCCAGCGCAACTGGATAATAAAAATAGCTTTCCGCCAGTGTTGCCATTACTCGCTTTAAAATCGTTGAGTTTCTTAATAAAAGTCATAAATGCTTTGGGAAATACAGTAATATAAACAAACAGATTCCAAATTTGGGATTACCGTTTTTTGGATGGCCACAACTCGCAGGACGTAACATTTGTAGGATTCTTACATTATTTAAATTGGATTCTTAAATATAACACGGGGCGATTATATTTGGTGGCAACAGTTTGAAAAGCAAAACGAAATTATTAGCCCTTTTGAATCAAAAAAAAAAAAAAAAAAACGGAAGGGAAATAAAGGTGTGCCCTTTGAACCAATGTTTGGGAACATCTCTGTTTTGGTTTTATTTATTTTGTTTATGGCAAATTACTGGAAGTCTATCTGACTAAGAGCAATGCCTTAGTGGAGGAACTGTCTAGTACACTCGTTACGCGTGGGAGTTTTCTGAATTCCACTCTGTACAACATTATAAAGTAAGAGAAACGTGCAAAAGTAAATCAATTCTTACACATTATGTTTATATCTCTAAATATATCTTCATCTAGTCATATCTGTTAATCTATCTACTTGTCTGTCTGACTCGTTACATTACACTGCCTATCTTTCTAATTACAAGCTTTCTGTCTGTCCGGTTGCATTACATTATTTATTAAATTTAATTATACTTTCATTAAATTATAATTACTGAAGCCATAGTGAAATGCAACGTAACCATATATGTCAAATGTAATCAACTGCAGGTGAACCAAAGAACTGACGTATTTTTGTAAATTTTATATTTTAATAAAGCAACTTAGCTTTAGAACGAAAGGAAGAGAGCCCTGGTGTCTCTGGCGGTCTCAGGGCCTGTGTACGCGCTGAGTCGAATATCTCCATAGGGTATGGCGGGCCATAGGGACTGCTGGTGCCCTGTAGGGCTTTGGCGTATCTGGATAGTTAGTAGACGGAGACGAGATCCAATGTAAATTATGCATAACACAATATTACTATGCGTACAACAGAGTTGTAAAGTGCATTGTATTGGAATACAATAGTGTAGCATAGTATTGTAGTAATATTCATAATTGTATTGCATCGTCATATGTATGTACTTGTACTGGTGCATCATTATTCTGGTATTGTAGAAGTACACGGTATTTTTAAGTGCTTAACCTTATATTGTACAGTATTATTTTCTTTGTGTAATAGTTTTATATATGTATTTTCAAAGGAGTGCAAGAGTATGTTTGTAACATTATTGTATTTCGAGAATAGAATTTCGCATGGGTTCAGAACAGAATTTCGCATTTCGAATTTCGCATGGGTGATTTCACGCCTTACACCGTATTTCCGCTGACCTTTGCTATTAAGACAGCTCCCTGCATTCGGACTGGTGAACAAAATTAGAATCACGCTGGCAGGGCTTAAAAAGGCGGTTAAACACCATCCCCAAATAATTATCTATCTGCGGAGACAAAAAGACGAAGATAACAACTTGGATTATCCTGGACACCTATTATTAAATACCTGATGTCTCCCCTACCTATACCTGAACCTGTCTGTCTGTACATGGTGATTTAAATATATCTGCCAAAAAACGTAAAGCGGGTAAAGAGGACAGAAACAAATAGATTTTCTTTTAGAATGTGCTTGCGTAAATCGCGCTTTGAGGTGGTATAAGGCGCTATTGAGCGGGTGGTGAAACCGTTCTTCTGTCGTGCATCATCATTCCCCGTCCGAATTTCCAGGTGACAGGTGACAGGTGACGGAGGACGGGGACGCCTGGTGTTTAACAGAGGTAAACAGGCATATGTCCCGCGCCCTCCCCTATCTACCGGGGGTTTATTGAGATCTTAAAAGATTTATTACATTGCCATACAGGGGCAGATGAGAGATACATTGGCTATTTATATTGTATTACAGATTTTAGGTTTGCAAGGTATACGTTACATAACATACTGGTTACACATTTAAGAAAAAAAAAAGAAAAAAAAAAAAATATTAACATAACACATACATGACATGACACACATAAATACTATTAATAAAGAAAGGTACATGCGCTTAGCAGAAGGAAGATACTGTATTTCCTTAGATGCAGAGGAGTACTTACATTCACTTAAGACCCTGAATTAGTGGGGTTGGCATAGGTCTTGCCCCAGGGCGGTTATCTGGCTGAATCGTTTGAAGGCTATTTGGTTGTCTGCTGGCAAGTGGAGGTGATTATCCTCCGTGAGCGGGCATTCAAAGATGTAATGGTCTGGAGTTCCGAGCGACCCACAGACGCACAAGCCTGTATGAGAGATACCAAATCGCTCAAAATAGGTGGGAAAGGGCCCGTGCCCCGAGATGTAATTAGTGATGGGAGGTATGGAGTATTGGCGCTCCATTTTCACTCTAGGCAGAAATAAATTGGTTCTGCGACCCGTATCACAGGTCTCCCATTCAGCTTGCCACTTCTGCAGACCTTTTTCCTTAAGAGTTCTCTTGAGATACGAGGGTGGCGCTGGAATAGTTACCATCTGTGCAGCTATGTTGCTTGCTGCCTCCTTTGCCAGTTGGTCAGCTGTCTCGTTACCCTCGTTGTTAACGTGTGCCTTAGTCCATATTAAATTTACAATTAGTTGAGGATGTGATTGTAGAATATTCTGGAGGTCCGCTACCAATGGGGAGGTGTGGTTATGGTTGACTAGGGCGAATAGCGTTGACATGCTATCTGTAAACAGCATTGCATCGGTGATCCCGCTGTCAATTGCATGCTGAATCGCAGTGGTAATGGCTATGACTTCAGCCTGGAATGTACTGTTTATTGGTTGAAGATGCCCCTTCCACTCGATTTCCTTGCATCCTCCGTGGTACAGGACGAAGGCACTACCTGTACCCTCGTCGAGCTTGGATCCATCTGTATAGTACTGCATTGGGTACCGTGGATCCTGTATTGTAATTTGCTCGCCACTTCTGCTGACGTGAATCCTTATATTTCTTCCCTTGTGCGCAGGGTGCGTCTCCAGGGTATTCTTGGATGCTCATACTGAACTGGACTATAAGTGTTTCCGCAGAAGGTAGCTTCCTTCTTTAAATGGATAACAGTAGCGTAAGCAGCTTCAGTTTCTGCGCGTATGTGCAGTGGCATTAGACCAGATAATACCACTGCTGCACTAGTGGCCGTTGTTCTGTAGGCCTTACACAAGAGTAAGGCGTAAGGTCGTTGTATAATTCCCAGCTGTTTGACTTTTCTACCACTCATCGGATTGGCCCATATTGCTGAAGCGTAAAGGGCTATTTTCTCTGAGACTGTGAGATAAAGAATTTTCTGTATGTGGGGATTTTGACCCCAGTTTCGCCCCTGAAATAGGCGGGCTTTTCTTGCTATTTCGGAAGTTCGCTGTTTAATACTTTGGAGGTGGGGGATCCATGTTAATTTGTTGTCCCACAGAAGGCCAAGGTACTTCAAGGTGTTATTGATTTTAATGTTCCTCTGCATTAACTTGATGCATGGTTTGCGTCTCAGGTTGGCTCTTTGCTTCGGTATGATCAGGGCACAGGACTTTTCAGCAGATAGTTGAAGTTTAAGTTTGCCGCAGAGTTCTGCAAAGAGTGCACAAGACTCGGTGCCATTCTTCTCAAGCTCGTCGCGGGTTCTTCCTTGTATTAACAATGCGGCATCGTCAGCGTAGGCGACGATGGACGTATGTCTTGGCCATGTGGCCTAACAGTATATTTCGCTACGAATGCAGAACTCGCTAATATGCATTTTATCTATGATGCTACAGCTAAAACGGAGCAGCTATTCAAAGGCGATACAAAGAACTATTCTTGAGTAACACTTTGAGCAATTGTTCCGTTTCCAGTATTTCTCCGCGAATGCATTCATCATTTTAATCTACTTTGTTTTCTCGTCGTACTGCCACTGCCTTGTATTAACTTTATGAAAGGTCTGACTGCTCTCAAGTCAACCTGCGCAAGTACATGATATCGTTACATGATATCAAGTAATAATCATCATCATTATTTGATATCAGTTAATAATCATTATCATTATTTGATATCAAGTAATAATTATTAATCATTATTTGAAATCAATTAGCTCAAAGCAATTATTATCAGTGCCTGATATCCTATTGTTGCATGCGTACGGGTTCGTAATAAATTGAATGTTCACGTCCAATGAAAAGTGAATAAAATTTGTTATTATAATAACAAAAAACAAAATGCTGAAATTTTCTCTGAGTTATTAATACAATATCGCAGTATCTCACAGTAATTATATTTTAAACTACTAAAACGTTGAATAGAACTTAATTCAAACCACTGAGAAAGCTAATCCGATCTCACCACGAATTCGCTACATTCAACAACAAGAACTAAAATAGCAATTGAATTGAGATGTTTTTCTCCAGCTTTTATAAGCTTTTTAATCCCGCACGAGAACATTCTGGTATTTTTTCGATTTTTCTGGATAGCAAAAGAGTACAATTACGAGATATCTATTTGTAAAATGCGCGTGCTCCTGTATTTTAATTTTTCCTTCAACTTTCTCTTCAAGTAAGTCTCGTGCTGCATTGCACGGGAATATAAAACCATTTTAATTACAAGTTCTACTAAAAATAGCTAAATAAATACAAAACCCGTAATAATATTTTAGGCCATTAACGGTAAACTCAAAAAGGAATTTGTACGAAATTCTTAAAAATTATACAACAGAATAAATTACACCTACTACTAAAATCTTTTGCTTTTCTTTAACCAAAATCGTCCATTTCTCCTTTTCAGACGAGCGTCACTTCGCAAGTGTCCCTTGAGTCCAAGGTGACCGGCCAGACATTTACGCAGACAGCGTTTTTCAAAGGAACATTAGTGGCAACTAAAACTCTGAAATTCAAAAGCAGGAATATTGAGATTCCTAGAGAAACTAAGAAAGAAATGAAAACGGTAAGTGATCATATGTTTTCCTTTATAAGTTATTTTTTTTTGGAGTTTCTGAAATTTAAGTTCGTCTGGTTTCTTCTTTCTCAAAATTCTTAACGAAAATTTCAGTTGATGTTAATAACATTCATTTTTTTTTTTTTTTTATGTCCGAAACTGCATAATATTTCTCTTTCGCGTAAATGTCGGTAATTTTTAGTCTGTCCCTATCCTAAAAGTACCTAATTAAATTATTCCGCTTAAAAGCAGCAAGCGGAAGCCAGCTCTTAATGTTCACTTGATATTTCAAAATTTAACTTTAGTTTGGTGTTTTCTTGAAATAAAAGGTCTCTGTATGTTTAAAAATAAAATATGGCGGAAAGAGGCAACTTTTGCCTTTTATTTTTGTTCCAAATTGGCAATTGGCCCAGAAGGTCTATTAATTTCGTTTCGGCAATTTTTCGTCGATTTACTACAAGCATTGGTTCACTTTTCAGATTGTTGCCACCCAATATTATCGCCCTGTATTATGTTTAAAGAAATTAAATGATGAACAATCAAGTCCAAATTTGAAATTTGGAATTTATTTTATTATCGATTTCATATTTTGCAAAACTTTAACTAATTTTTGGTTAACGGCTTTCAAAGCGACCCATGGCAACGTTGTACAGAAAAATACATTTTTATCTCCAGCGCGCGAGACCGTATATCGTAAATTCTAAAGATACGATCATTTAAAAATTATTTTGCGATATTGCTCTGTTGAACTGAATTTTACGGTTTAAGTGCGAAGAACAGGATATTTAATAAATAAAGGTAACACTCAAAATGTTAAAAGAACGCCCCTTTGGACGTAATTTAAAATCTGAAACTTTTCCGATTTTTTTTTATTTATTTATTTATTTATTTATTTATTTATTTTTAAGGAGGAGGAGAGAAGAAACCGAAATATTCGATTTAGAAAACTATTTTATTCTTCTTTCACTATTCTGTCAAGATATTTCAGTTGTTCTGAATGAAATTTTGCTGCATATCGATTTTCTGTCGTAATTATCGACGAACGAATTATATGAAGACGTCGTCACGAGTCAGTAGATAAATGTGACGAGATAATTAAGGCCGTGTTTACATCAGAGATTCCTAACTAAATTAATTAATCGAATCTCGTGTACTTTCCTGTATAATGTACAGTATGCAACATAATGACAATACAAATAATTGCACATAAGTAACTTAAAGAATAAGAAGTAGACTGAAAATATGAATAAGAGTTTTAAAAATAGTTTTTATTTTGTGTATGGTTATTATTTTTAATTGAGAAACATAAATGATTTTTCAGAAGCAAAATCATAGTTTCTAATTGTGCAAAAGTTCGATTTTAACTCATATTTTAATATCTGGTGTACAACTGCTTAATTTATATTTAAATAACCTCTTTCAAAAATATTCAACTTGTTTCGTGTTTTCCTTTCTAGTTTTGCTTTTTTCGTGTTTTTCTGAATGCGTTTCTTGCGCTTAATTTTATATTGCGCATATTCATTATATTTCACATATTGCGTAAACATTTATATATTTAAAAAAAATCTGAAGGCTTTCAGATTTTAAATTACGTCCAAAGAAGCGTTTTTTTTTTTTTTTTTTTTTTTTTTTTTTTTTTTTTTTTTAACATTTTGTGTGTTGCAATTATTTATTAAATATCACGTTCTTCGCTCTTAAACCATAAAATTCAGTTCAACAGCAATATCGCAAAATAATTTTTAAATGAGCGTATCTTTAGAGTTTCCGGTACACAGTCTCGCACGGTGGAGATAATTTTTTTCCTTGCAGTGTTGCCATTGCTCGCCTTGAGCTCGTTAAGTTTGCTAATCAAAAATTTGTTAAAGATTTGTAAAATATGAAATAGATAATAAAAAAAGTTCCAATCTCCAAATTTGGGTTTTTAGATGCCCATATTCGGGTGGAAAAGTACGTTATTCGAAACTGGACAGCTTTAGGTACCATCGTTTAATCACAATCATACATACATTTATGCATATTCTTCATTATTTAGTTTCTTTAAATATAATAGAGGGCGAACAATTTGGTCGGTGGTAACAGTTTGAAAAGTGAACAGACATTTAAAGTTTTCAACGGAAAATGCGAAAACGAAATTAATAGCCTTTCTGGCTAACGACCTTTGGGCTAAAAATATTATTCATTTTTAAAATATATTACATAATTTTAGGGTATTTTTCCTTTATATGTATTTTATATGATTTCTTCCTAATTACATGAAAGAGTTTTAATAGCAATAAACAATGAATTATAAATTTTAACATCTTATATTTCTTGATTGCATTAACAGTTGATCGGCATAAGCCGACGCGTATTCGACTATCAACCCAATCGATAACTTGATCACCATTGAACACCTTTAAAATTTCATTGACCCCCCAAAAAAACAATATTCAATACTAACCCCGCTGAGAATATCTGGTTTAGCTATTCTTGTAAATTACTAGAGAAAAGATATGACTCAATATTTAACTAAAAAATCGTATCCTTAGTTATTCAGATGTATACGAGGCAGTTTCCTTTAGAAAATCCTCTAAGAAGGCATCCATCTACTTAGGCAGGTAGCCCTCAAGTTCTTTGCCGTAATAATATCAACCAACCTTATTTATTCAGAACTTAACCGTTAATGGTCCTATTTTTAGAATTAGAAGCAGTGCAAAGAAGGAAATTTAAAACTGATCAATATGGAAAATGGCATTCGTAGCGTTTTCTTCCCTCACCCCCGTTCTCCTTTTGAAATCTAATTTTTTTTAATAAAAATGAAAACTTTCATTTCTCTGTAAATTAAATACAAGTAATTGCCCTAGAATACGCTTGAAAATCTGCTTATAATGAAATTAGTGTTAGCATTTATATTTCTTTCATTTTAAGCAATTTCATATTTCTCTGTAATTTTTATTGTTTTGTTTATTTTTGGAATAACATTTGCCTGAAACGTGTAATTTTTCACGCAAGGGTTTACTAATGAGGTTATTTGTCACAATTGGTGTTACGCATCGCAAAGATTTTGATGTCTAAAAAACATCTGAAACTTCCAAATTTTGACCAGGTATTGCAGACAATAGTAAAAAAAAAAAAAAAAAAAAAAAAAAAAAAAACTGAAGTAACACACCACATAACTTCTTTCTACGCAATATTAAATTATACGCATTTTTCGTGCATTTCATTTAAACTTATTTCCTCTAATATCATTAGGGATATATTTCTCCTTCAATGAATTCAGTTCTTACTACGCAGCAAACAAAATATACATAAAAACTCGAAATATCTTCATTAAAAGATAATATTGAAAGATATAGAAAAACATAAAACGGCAAATACAGTTAAAACAGTTAAAAACATTAATTAAAATTCCAGTTTCTACTAAAAAACATCGGCCAGCGGGCAATAAGGCAGATTTTCGGTGCACAAATCTAAAAGTTTCCTTTTGGTCCCACTCAGCAAAAAGACACTGAAGGTGCAGAATCTGACTTAATTCGCTATTCTGCTAAGTTTCAAATGTAAACAAGTATGGCTGCTATGGTAAAAAATTAGGCTTACCCTCACTTAAACAACTCTTAAATTGTTGATAATTCTAAAACTATTGCATGCAGGTTAACTAAAGGCATAAAAACCTTAAACAGAAGATACGAATAATATAATTCAATCATTTTTAAAGCAAAACATGCACAATTTATAACATATAAGAATAAAAATTTTGAGCTCACCCTGCCAAGTAACAGAGTGGATATATATATATATATACTTTTTGGTGCGGCTGATTACCACCAAAAAGGCAGGTGCACAACTACATGTTATAGCAGTCCAATATACAAAATTGCAATGTTCTGAGGTTACTTGTTGTTGAGTTATGCGTGACACGTGCGTATGTACAGACGCCACAAAAAAACATTTCTTCGGAGTCCATTTTAAATAAGTTTTATAATTTGTTTCGAGAAAAAAGTCCTTTATTCTGTCCTTACGTACAGATGTCACGCAAACACATCGTTCAATTGCATTCGATAGCGGACAAAATTTATATTTTCCTTGAAATATGATACCCGGAATTTTTCGTGATTACAATACTTCCTTTACTTCTTAGAAGGAAGTAAAACAGGCCTGCCATATATAGACTAGTATAGACCTTCACAGATGTTGAAGCATGCATCTCCCCCTCCAAAACAACTACCTTTTTTGGAAGAGGAGATAAAATACCTTTAAAACTTTCCAAAAGATATACTGCCTCGAACGCGGGGGATTACGTCATGATTTAAATGCGTTTTTATTTATATTAATTAGATTTCAAATATATATATATATATATATATATATATATATATACTTAAAAATGCGTTTATTACTTTTCCCTATCAATTGGTTTGCTATTCAGTAATAAAGACTAAATTTGAAGCTTTAATATCTTAAGTCTCACTGAATGACAATACGCCGGTGGATGAAGATAGTAGGTATTTTATTTGAGGCAGTGGCAACGCATTGCTTTCGAACTGGTAAATCAAAATTCGAAGATAAATATCTTATGTTTTGCCAAATGGCCACAGTCTGGCGTGCTGAAGATAAAAATGTTTTATTTCGAATAGTGTTGCCATTTCCACTTTCAAATCGCTAAGTTTGTAACACAAAAATTCATTAAATTTGTACAAAAATAAAATAAATCAATCAAAAACAAAGTCGAAATCCAAAATTCCCGCTTAGAGGTGCCCATGTTCGGGTCGGAGAGAACTAACTAAGTGTATTAAAAATTCGGTGGCTCTGTGGCGTCGTTTTTAAACAATGCGAGCGTACATACGTACAACGTACGTAAATATACAGATTCTTCAATATTTAAATTTTTTAATAATATATTTCGATATAATTCGGTAACAACAATATGAAACGTGATTTGGATACAGAAACGATACGGACCAAAAGTAAATTTCGAGATTAATAGTACCTCTGTTGTTTATTAGCTCTGAAACGGTGTACTGCTCTCTTGATTCAGAATAAAATCAAAATTCACCTGTTCTGTTACAAAACTGGGTCCAACTGCTACCGAGCGGTAAAGGCTTTGAGCACAAGTAGTTCGTTCCGGGATTTGAATCTAGGCGGACGGCTGTTTGTGTGATTTCTCCCCATGTGTAATGCCAGCTTTCCTTGGAAAATCATCCACGAAGGCATACATCTCCTTAGGCAGATAACCCTCGAATGTTTTCCCTTAATTAAACAAACCAGAACTATTACACAACTGTGTTTGTTTACAGAAATTTTCAAATTTAGGCCGTCCTGAAATGGTGCCGAGCAGAACCCCAACCGGTATATTGATACGCATCGCTGACAGCCGTGCCGAAGGTCCCGAGTTCGAATCCCGGAGAAGGCATGGATGTTTGTAAATGTATAGTGTCGGTGTGGCATTGCGGCACTCTAAATATGCGACGAGTCGAAAGTCCTCTCGTGTGGTTTGGTGAAAGCGGTGAGAGGGGAGATTCTCGGACCCGTGCCCCCCCGGGGTGCTCTCCATCAAAATTGGGAGCAGAACGGAGCAAGATCACACTGTCACTTGAATGGTGCTCAAAGCTGTTGCCAATGGCAGGTGTATTCTGGTGCTCTTTGCCACGAGGCATTTCATGGGCTCGGGCAGACTACAGCAGACGAGTGAGCATAAGCAACAACAACAGTCTTATAACACAATGTCTGAAAGATTCAATACTTACATTTATTTAACTTGTCATTCAGAAAGTCTTGGTAGAGGTAGTTTATGTTCGACCAGAATACTCATCATCAAAGTGATTTACAGGCGAATACACATCTCTAGTAATATACCATTTCAATTGTATAGTGTAATATAAAAAAATACCCGAAGACACATTGTCATCATACTCTTATATCATAACACTATGACTTATTATTATTACCACGACCATATTATGATTTATTATTAGACATAAGATTTGAATAAAGTTTCAGAACGTAATTTAAGCGCATTAATCTTGCTGGGTTAAAAGACCTTGGTACTACGAAAATGTACGGAACAGATCTGTCGACGGTTATCTCGAGAGTTTTGAAATTTGGGCTGTAGTCAAATGATGCAAAATTTACCTGCTTTTAATGTCAAAAAATATAAAGATCTATTATGTTATTAGTCCAAAGAGGCTTTGTCCCTGAAGGACTATTGTTTTCGCTTTGAGATTTTGCGTTGGTTCACTATAAATATCCGTTTCACTTTACAAACTTTTGCCACCAAAAGTTAGAATCCTGCATTATATTTTAAGAAATTAAATAATGAAAAATTTACATAAATGTATGTCTATTTCTCGCGCTGTGATAAAATACCGGTACTAGAGCCATCGAATTTTGAATGACTTAATCCTCCTACGAATATGGGCATGTGGAAGACCAAATTTAAAATTTAGAATTTGTTTTATTATCGATTTGCTATTTTGTAAAACTTGAACAAATTTTTGATTAACAAACTAAAAGATTTCAAAGCGAGCGATGGCAACGTTGTACAGAAAAAACATTTTTATCTCCAACGAGCGAGTCTCTATATGGGAAATTCTAAAGATATTGCTCATTTTAAAACTAGTTTGCGATATTGCTGTTGAACTGAATTTTATGGTTTAAGTGCGAAGAACGTGATATTTAATAAATAAATGCAACACACAAAATGTTAAAAAAACGCTTCTTTGGACACAATTTAAAATCTGAAAGCCTTCAGAATTTTTTTTTAATATTTAAATGTTTACGCAATATGTGAAATATAATAAATATGTGAAATATAAAGTTAAGCGCAAAAAAACACATTCAGAAAAACACGAAAAACATAAGGACGTAATAACATTTTGTACTAATAACATTTCGTTTTGGACATAACATTTTAAACATAATAACATTTGAGATTTTCTTTTTTTTAATTGTATTTTTTAAATTTATTCATTTTTCATGTGTTTTTATCTTTTTTTTTTTTTTTTTTTTAATTTTATTTTAGATGCGAGAACTGCATCACGATAACATCAATCCCTTCATCGGTGCCTGTGTTCAGCCCCATTACATACTTCTAGTCACTGAATATTGTGCCAAAGGAAGCTTAAAGGTATTACTGATTTGAAGTTTGATTTAATATGACAATTCCTTCTAAAATTATAAGAAAAAATCATTTAGGAGATAAATTTAATTCAGATTACAATGACAGATTTAACTGCGATTGAATCAACAAATAGAATAAAAATGAAACAAGTAATTTTTTTAAAAAATGTTTAAAGTCAATTCCTGCTTATGAGAATTTAATTCCATACACTTTTAAAATTGTTAGAACTCTTCTGTCTTACTGTTGTCACTTATTTTTGTTAAATATGACAATCCCATTGGTCACAGTCGTGTACTATTATTTAGAAGTTGTTATAAAATCAATTTTTACGGCACGTGAGAATTCCTAATAAACGGTCATTATTTGTAAGTCTTATAACATATTTAATAAAAACAGCATATTTTTAGTTCCGATAAACAGGAATAAATAAGTAGAAATCCACTTTAATAAGTAAAAAAACTGTATTGACATCAAGTTGTCATCCACTAGAAGTTTAAAAAGTGTATTTGAACTTGAGTGGATGAATAAAAAGTATTTTATTAACGACTGAAAATTAACAAGATTAACTAATGAACAAGATATAGGGAGAGGGTGAGCCAATAGTAGGAATTTAATAAAATAGGCTTTTAATAGCTTTCCATTTTATGTGTTGTAATATATTTAATCATTACATCCTTAAAATTCTATATCTCTTAAACGTACTCCGATTATTATTGACTGAAATATATTTCCAGTACATTTACAAAATCATACTATAAGAAAATAACTGTCTTTTATTTTCCGCGTATGTGTGTTTCGCATATTACTCCCCCCCCCCAAAGTTTTAGTGCCAGGTTCTGGAAATTTAAAAAACTTCACGTAATACTCCCTTTCCTTTGCACGTTCAAAGAACGAGTTCTCCCAAATTTTCAAGTGAATTCGTCCATGGCGGGTTTATTTTCATCTTACTTAAGAACAAACATGGATTCGTGAGGATTTTTCTGAGCGAACCTATTTTGTACCTATATATAAATGCTCCGTTGTTTTATTCTAGTTGAAATAATCATTGTTCGTGGCAAATTCGTTGAAACGTTCATTGTATTTTAGTTGAAATAGTCATTTTCGTTGAAAGAGTCATTGCATTTTCGTCGAAATTGTCATTGTTAGTGGTACGAACAAATAGCCATTGTCCGTGCAATGAATTAACTAAACGCAATTTTTCTGTCCTAAATTTTCAAAAAAAATTTAATGGAAATAAAAATATTATTTTTAATGTATAATCTTTGCTGAAACAAAGTACATTTAATTAAAAACAATTCTTCCTCATGATCATAATGAACATGTATTTGGCCTACAAAAAAATGGAATCAATTAACTCATTTGAATACCCAAATATCGCTGTACTTTCTGTAAATTCGACATATTACGTTCAAATGATGTTAAATCCCTATTTCCTTCAAAAAGAGATTAAGGTAAAAAAAAAAGTGTTTGTTTATGAAATTAAATTGTCTTTCAAAGCGAACGTGAGTAAGCATAAGAATGAAAGAACTAATTCATTAACAATAGGATCGAAAACGTGAAGATAATCGATTAAGAAGATGAGATTTGGGAATGTAAAACTACCGAAAGGTATTTTAAGACAGTCCTTAATTCATACCAAAAGAGCTAAATGTATTCATTAAATAAAAATAATTTCAATAAAAATTAAAGAAAGACTACATCCACTATGCTTTTAAATGCCACTATGCTCTTTTTCATTACGTATCTTCTTTTAAATGAAGATACATAATAAAAAAAGAGCAAAAGTTCTAGAATTTCTTAAATTACAAAATATGTCTATTACATAAATTACGTAAAAGACTTATTTTTTATAACATCATTTGTTTTTTCATATGATGGATTTAAAATAGTAGTGTTAAGCTGTGTTGTAATATCTGGTAACACATTACGCGTCAAAAAATGCCTTGAAATTCTTATAAAACTTTAAAGAAAGGAAAATACGATGATAGTCAATAAATAATTTTAAAATAAGAAAGCAGAACATAATGCGCAAGAAATGTATAATAAATTAGTGTAAGATTATTTTAGAAGATGTGATACTGTATCTCGACAAAAAATAATCTCATAATTTTGTATTATAGTCACAAGAAAAATGTTATAGTTAGTGAGTTAGTTTCTGTTTTACCAACAAAATGGCAAAATGTTTGTGTAGTTTTAATGATATTAGCCGCTCAATGTTTAAGACAGTTATAAAGTTATACATCGTTCAATGCTGGGACTTTAGTTCTATAATCCTAACAGACATGTAGCGAGGTTTGGCCCAAAGTCTTGCGAAGGTTTTAAAACAATCTACTTATTTAAACAAAATTTTTAACAAAAAAAGTCACGGCTGTTCCATAGATAACCACAGCTTGTGGCGATGCAAATAGATAAGAACAGTCAATTCAAATTAAACTCTGATCCGTAGTCTAAGACTCCACAGTTAAATAATGAGCTACAAACTGTTTCAATAATTTAACAGGTACTACTACAATATTGCTCATCGGGTATCGATCCTTTTGATAAATGATAAGCTGTACCGTTCTTACACCAGATCAGTTCGCTTCCACAATCCGATGACAGAACGAACCTACTCTCATTATGAGAGCCCTTTCCTGTTCGGTCAAATGCAATGCTCGGGACTCCACTGGAAACGAGAGGTACGGTACTGTATCAGCAATAAGACACACACACACAACAGGTATGTGAGCGCCCAGTCCTCTTTCTCCCAAACGTCTTGCTGCAGTATTCAGCAACATTAAAACAACTGAAACGTGTAGCCAGCGTCACGAAGGTCTTGTTATACACCTGCAGTAGACAGGTACATTGCCCTATCGGCAACAATAAAATGGCACACCACAGCTCAGCAAGAGGCGAATGAGTTACTGTCACAGGCAGCTGATCTACCAACTGTGTTTCTCGTTACTTCTCGTCGTTGAGATCACATGCGGCTTAAGGCTGTGGTGTTAATAGATTAACGGTGCCTAACGGTTAAATTACATAAGAAATTTAACCTGCAACGCTTCAATCAGTAACTTGTGTCTGCCAGCAGCTTTTTTTTATTCGTCGGAATGACATTAATCCATTAGACATCACTGCCTTAGGCCGGATGTCATCTCGCGGACGAGAAGTAAGGAGAAGCACAGTTGGTAGATTCGCTGTGACAGTAACTCAGTCGCCGTCTGCTGAGCTGTGGTGTGCCGTTTTATTTTTACCGATAGTGTAATGTGCCTGTATTCTGCAGGCGTCATACATCTAACAAGACCTTCTCCGTGACACTGGCTGCACGTTTCAGTTGTTTTAATATTGTTGAATGTTGAACGTCTTGGCAATATCTTATATTTTTCACCGATCTTTCCAATATTACTGCGGCACGTATATCAGTATCCGAATTTTCAAAAAATTTTGCAACGACTTTCTTCCTTCGTCCTAAGATCTTTGTCAAGTATACGTTCTCATATTTGCATAAATTAAGTGAACTATTACATCCTGTGAATATGTACAAAATGACTCCACTTGTGGACTCAGTTATAACCTTCTATAACTGAAATAACGCGTGGATATTTAGCAATATCATTACAATTCATTATAATATTGTGTTTTCGATACTTATTATAGTTGTTTCATTAAGCTTATCCGCATACTAATTATGTTTATCTGTTATTTTTGTTACACAAAAATAATTGTTCAATTTAATTCGTAAATTTCGAATTGTATTGAGACTATAATGTAATTGCTTTATATCCAAAATTTAGTTTTAATAAATACTGGATACTTACGGTGGGATTGCGCGATGAACCATAACAGGTAAACTCTACATTCTTTTGAATAACGTGAACCATCTAAACAAAAACTGAAAAACTGTAGTACCACCACTACATTTTACAATGATTATTTTTCAATTTCTCAATAGAAATATTAATATATATATATTGCCATTTGCTATTTGTATTAAGTATATACATATAAAAACTATTACATTGAAAATTGTTTACAATTTTTATTATCAAAATTTAAGTTTTAGTACTTTAGTTTTTTTTATGAGTCACTATGAGAAATCATTTACGAGCTGACTCATGGTACATCGCTGGTGTCCCCCATAATTTACCTGTACTTGTACTGGATCCTGCACTTTTCCAAATTTTTGCTTTCTTTCATTTTGTGATATTGTGGATGGCAATGGTTTCTGACCTTACCAATTATCCAGAATTATATATTTATGTACACAAGGCACGCGATTACGCTGTCACTCATTCAATCGAGTAATTTTGTAATAAAAATATTTCTAATTTTCATTGATGGATTTATTTTTTATAGGATATTCTTGAAAATCCTGATATTAAACTAGACCACATGTTTATTGCTTCGTTGGTGTTTGATTTAATAAAGGTAAGTTGTATTTATTTATTATTAGATTTAGGTTAAAATAACACTTCGAGCAATAACAAGAATTAATGCTGATTATATACGATATTACGATTGATATCATATTGATTGATATGATATTATGATTGTATGCTATTATAATTGTATGATATTACGCCGATTCTTGTTGTTTGACTTCTCCAATAATCATTATTAGAGTGTTGAAAATGTTCTTAGTATGATTATATTGATTTGGAATGGAATATTCGAATCACACAGATCCTAAAAAATGATTCGATATTGGGAAAATGGAATCTTTGATCTCTACTCTTCATTTGAATCTTTCTAATTCTAACGTAAAATGATCGTTAGAAATTACCAATTGAAATTTTAGAACTAATGTTATTGCCCCGTCCCAGTAGAAGCATTAAATAAATAAAGAATGCAACTGTTGCAATTTTATATTTGATTTACCTTAGGTAACAAAATCTTAAATTTTGGGAAATATACTATCGTTCTTTGTTTGGTATTTCTCTGCATTAACTCGTGAAATCGGCCTCTCCCGTTTGCCCATGCTTTGTTTTTGAAAGATTCTGAAAAGTGGAAAGAATTCGACTTGTAACTCAAAGTTTTTGTCAAAATCCCATTGAGGTAATGCACTTAACGATATACAAATTTTAAATATATACTTCATTTGCTGCATTGCGTTGACAGTTTCTTGATGTATGTGTATCTTTTAAAATGTTATTCATATTTTTTTTTAAACTGAGATTTCGAATTTTGCTTTAATTTATATATAAATTTTAACATGAAGAAATTTTTCCCCCTTCATCATTTCATATTTTTTCCAGAAGTTACGTGATTTGACCGTGGGAACGAAACTGATTTTTTATAATGTGATGTACAGGGTGGTTATAATTAAAGTTCCATTTTGAAATGATCATAAAAAAAAAAATTGCTGGACCAAATGTTATCAAATCTGGTAGTTGTGTAAAGGAGGTCATTGGAATTTATTTCCCCCCTCCCAAAAGAAAGAAGACCAAAAACTCACCAGCAAGGGGAAAATGGTGCTGTATGCAATATGGTTAAGACGAAGCTGAAGACATCGTCTTAAAATGTGTTTAATCGTTTCCAAAACGTGTTACAAAGCATGTTCAATGGTGGGTCCACTATTTTCCAAAAGCTAGTTAAATCCTATTACTGCATTCTCAACAGCAGCTCTTAGCATATCAGGTGGAATGCTTCGGACATGTCGGTGTATCGCATCTTTCAATTTCGCCAAATTATTTAGATTGGTGAACATAAACAGTGCTGCCGTAAGCCAGTTACAAGCCAGTGCGATTTTGTATAACCCCACCAACGCTTTCGTTTCAGAAACGATTAAAAACGTTTCAAACCGATATCTTCCTGTCTTGGGGCCAAATTTTAGGCTTCAGAAATCACAAATTAGCGATCTGTAAGAAAACGATTTTCGGAATGCGCACACTTCTGCGCGTAATTTGCGATCTCGTATTTTCTGATCCCAAATTTGTGGTTTTCAAAGACGGATGGCGTATTCGACCCTTACACGAAAGGCGCATTCGACCGTTACTGCCTTTAACGCTTTTTAAATGTTAATTTTATTTAGGTCAACGTTTTTAAGGGTATACAATTTGTTAAATCCTTGTAACGAAATTTTAAGTTAGATTCCGACCCTTAGTTCGTTTAACAGTATTGCGTAGAGCTTTATTTCCCCCAAAATTTGAGGTTTTGAACTTTTTTCCCCGAAGAATGAATTACCATGACCCCCTTTACACGATTACCAAGTTTGATAACATTTGGTCCAGCAGTTTTCCTGTTATGACCATTTCAAAGTGAAACGTCTTTATATATATAAGAGGTTTAAGTGTTTGTCGCCGATAGTTTACTGTTGTCACTCGAAAAAATGAGCGCGGAAATTACCGTTTCCGCAGTTTTAATTAATATCTCCGCCAGTTAAAGTTGTACGAAGATTAGAACGGTATCGATGGATTTCGAGAATGTTTTAGAATCCGAAGATACGCGTCTCGAAATTCAACTTGGCGCCGTTCCGTAGATATTCGAGAAAAAAGACTTTGGCACGTAGCCAAATTCCTTTAATAGAGAAAACCCAAGAACGAAGGTAGAAAATGTAGGGGAAAATTAGTTTTTAATTAATATCTAAGCTAATTAAAGTCCCAGAAAGACGCGAATGGTCAAAATGGCGTGCCATGGACCTGCGGAATCCAACGGTGTGCTTCGCTAAACCCAAGCCTGGTAGCCAGCTGTTTCGGAGAAGATGATGTTACTTCACCCCATATATATGCGGCTGAAGTGTCTGTTTGTCGCCGATAGTTTATTGGTTGCTTGCGTAACTGTACTAGCCAATGGGGGGGAGTTGCCACGGCACAGGGTTGCCGTTTCAACTGAGAGAAAATTATTATTTCAATTAATAATTTTTATAATAATTTAATTTCCCGTAAAATTTGCCTTTGCTGTGACCATCCATTAATCTCATGGCCAAACGCTTAAGCGTGTTGGCAATTTTTTACCTGAGCCTGCATTTGGACACCTTCAACTTTATGTTGCCTGTTCAAGAGTTCGTAAAAGAACGGACATAGAATTAAAAATAATGGATGGTCCTCTGCAAGGCGAGCTTAAAAATGATGGAAAGATCTACACAAGAAATGTTGTGTACTAAGAGATCTTTGGCATGTGAATTTTATTATTTACATGACATTTTATTATTTAAATCACCTTTATTTATTGAACCAGCGCTCTAAGCGGTGGACTCTTAAGAAATGTATCGCCAGTAGTTTCCTTCATTGCACTCTTCTTTAAATAATTAAGCAAGTAGAAGGGATAAACCCCGTGGGGCAGTAAGCAAAGGTAGTCCTCGCCCCCTGCCCTGGGTAATTCAGTTTGAATTAGCAGACACCTTTGCACAAATCATTTTAATTACATTTTATAATATCTATTAGAACAGCGGCCATTTCGTATGACCGCCGGGCTTTCTAGTTAATTATAGCCACCCTGTATTTTAGAATTTAGAAGCTCCAAATATTTGAAAATAATTTAGAATTCGATTAGAGAATATCTGAAATTATTTTCTTCCTTACTGTTGATTAATTCTGTTGTTGCATGAACCAACCTTTTGCTGTGTGATGCATTAGTTTTCCGTCTTGTATTGACTCGAATCAATACTATTTATGAAATCATTGCAATAATGTAGCTCAAGGATACAAAATTGACTATAATCGCTACTTTTATTTGCAGGGTATGATATTTCTACATGATTCTGACCTGAAAGTTCACGGTAACTTGAAATCCTCCAACTGCTTAATTACAAGTCGGTGGGTGCTACAAGTAACTGATTACGGCCTTCGAGAACTCTGTACTGCCGCCGAGGCGGAAATATTCCTGAATTATGATTATTATCAAAGTAAGATATCATTTTCTCTTCTTCTGTGTATTTAAGTACCCTAATTAACAGTTGTAAATGGTTGTTCTGTCCCTTGCTACATACAACTTCAATGGAATTATGCACTTTATAAGCGGGAAATAATAGGTTTGTTGTAACGAACGGTAATTTATAAAAATATGTTTCATTGCGAAGCATACTTTAGCTGTCGATTAATCGATTTGCCTTTTCATTCCCTCAACCGGAATCGCAACAGCGTATATTTCAATAAATAAATAAACAAACCGTAGAATGATCAGATCATTATTTACGTAATTGTGTGTATATTCTTTCCGATGGTACGTATTCCTAATTATATCTTACGTTTCTCGTACGTCTATCAATTAAACCTATTTATTTCCTCATGAGGAATGACAAACGCAAGCTTCTTTAAGAACGACTTTCTTTAAAAAGAAAAAATGAGTTCCGAAATTCGAAAAGCGAAGTGATATTAAAAAATGAGTAATCCCATCTTTAGTCGAGTAATAAGGGAGATTTGAAATTCGAGTAATAAGGAAGATATGAATAATACTGCATAATTATGCAATTATATGAACACATTTTTCTTTTAACAGTTGCCTAGACAGCTGTTGCTCTGGGCATGGACATCGGTGTAAATGACCAATTGGTAATAGGTATCTGAATTATAGGATCTGCTCTTAGATACACATCTACTCGCATAGTTTTTTTGTATTTTTAGCCTTATAGGCAGCCTTCGACTTTTACCTGAGCCTGCATAATTTTTTCTGAAAAATAACATACATAATTTTTTCTGAAAATGTGTGCGAATGTAAAATGTTCAAAAGTAAAAGGAATGTTGAACAAAAATTAAACACAAAAATTGCATTTTAAAATATTTATTTATTACTAATGTTGTTTATTTATCAATATGCGTTATGTTAAGTGAGCGAGGCTTGTTTAAGCTTTTTCAAGTGTTTTCTTGGTTAACGGGTCGAGGTTTAGTTGAATACCACCCTTTTTATTTTTTTGTAGGAAGTAAAGGAAGCAGTAAAGCGAATCATATTTCAACGAAAATATCCATTTTGACTGTTCTCGAATCCATGTGAATGATGTTTTTGCGTGACATCTCTTTTTTCTAAAAGCGATTAAAAATGGATTTAAAATGAAATCAGAAGAGATTTCTTCGTGACGTACGTATGTATTCCAGGAACCTTTTATTTTAGCTCACGTGTATCCGATATTATTTACTGTATTCTCCATATTATAGTTCTTTCAAAAATCTCTTAATATAGGCCCATTAAGGTGGATATTTCTACAGAAGAAAAACATTTATGCGTAGTATCATGATGCGCATTTATGTATACAATATATATTTCACCCACTCTATTTGTATTTAGGTATCATATGGTGTGGTTTAGGATCTTTTTTATTAAATTAATGACGTATAAAGGAGTATTACGTATTTTTAGCGTTCTTATTCTTGTCTGTCTGTCTAGGATAGTGTCTCAACCATTTTTGACCCTTGCACGGCTATGGCCACTCATCATTATTCCTCCTCTTCCTAAAACTTGAAAAATACATATATATGTACACCTATTTAGGTTAAGATGATTTTCTAAAAAATACACATGTTTAAATTATTCTCTAATACGTTTAATAATAAATTAAACAAAACAAAACAATACAAGAGACCACTGGGTGAACAGCTGTGTTGCCACGAAGACTTTCAGTTTTATTGCTCACTCAGTGGGACCACATTTATTTAAAATTTTATATTACAATATAAATTTGATTTTGTTGTATACATAATTTTGACTTATACTTGACATAGATTGACAGAATTCACATAAATATTGACATAAATTTTGATGCTACGTACATAGAATATAATGTAGAATACAAATAAAGAGTTAAATACAAAATTTTGGTTATATACATAATAAATAATGTAGGATTTTGATGATATGTTGAAATGTAATTATAGTTTACAGTTGATAAATAGTTCATAATTTATAAATAGTTCACTATTCATAAAAGTTCACAGTTCATAAGTCTGTTAAAGTTTATTTATCTGTTCAAGTTAATAGTTAGTCTAAAGTAAGTTCTGATAAAGTTCTGATAAAGTTTATAGTTAGTCTGGTGTATGTTTCATATTTGTTGATTGAAATTGTGTTGCCTTGAAGTGATGCTAATTATGTCGAAATAATACTGATGTGGAATTGTGATGCCTTAATTTATGGTAACTTTAGATTATCACAATTTTCTATAAGATATTCCATTAAATTTTGAAGTTTTTTTGCGAAGAGGGTTTACTTCTGCGTAGTTGTTTGACCATCCTTGGACATTTTCACTTGTGAAAGGACGAAAGTGGAGGTCTTTAGTGATTGTACATTCAAACAGGTAATGATCTATTGTTCCTGTTGATCCACATATGCAGTTGTCTGTGATACAAGCCGAAACGGAAAAGATATGAAATGAAGGGTCCATGTGCTGTTAGAAGATGTGTTATTGCATTATTTGTTATAGCTAAATTTCGTTTTGGTTTTGGTAGGAACATAAACGTTCGTCTGCCCGTATTATCTTGCGACCACATGAGTTTGCATTCAGAAATTAAATCTTGATTTTAAAAGTGATATTGGATTTGGTAAATAGGTTATTGCTGTTGTAGTACCATTTGCTGCCTCTTTTTCCAAGCTATCTCCCTGCTAAAAATGCCCCGTAGAAACCCATAAAATGTTTACGGGGAATTGGTCTGTGGGTTTTTACGGGGATTCTACCCGTAGGCCGAATCCCCGTAAAAACCCAGAGACAGAAACTCGTACAACTGTACAGGTACCCGTAGGTCAAATCCCAGTAAGAACTCATAGAAAGAACCGTAGGCCAAATACCCGTAAAAACCCATGGAAAGAAACCCGCACAGCTGTATGAGTACCCGTATGCCAAATCCCCGTAAAAACCCATAAACAGAAAAACCCGTATACCTGTATAATATTGCCTTAGACAGATTCATTTCGTAGATACAAACTCCCTAAGACGACCACCTCTAAAAGATAAATGATTTTTGAGAACGTGAGTATATATTGGTATTGAGCATCACCTCTCTAAGGCGACCACTTGCAAAGATGCATTTTTATTTGCGGCTGGTCTCCTTATAGAGACCTCGTAGTGTGTGGTGTATACGATTGCTGTTATTGTTTCCAAAAAAAACATTTTTGTAATCAAATAAATAAGCATATTTAGTAAAAACCCTCTCTAAAACGACCACCTGCGTTTCCAGGCTACTCTGATGGTCTTAAAGAGATCATATTTTCATTCTATTAATTTTATTGTTTACAAGAAGTCTATTAACGTCACATAGAAAATTAGCATAAACCCATATAAACCAACGGAAGATTCATTATTACCTATATTGCTACCAATCAGAAAACCAGTAAAAGTCAGTATAAACCAATACAAACCAGTAGAAAGTTCTGACATTAATGTTGGTTTTATGGGTGTCAATTGATACCAGTAAAAAAAAACCCACAGAGATCAATAGAAACCAGTAAAAGTCAGTAGGGACCAACAAAATTATATAGGTACCAATAGAAAATTTTACTGGTTTCTATAGGGCAATTTGAAACTAATAAGAAAAAACCACAGATACCAACAGAAACCAGTAAAAGTCAATAGAAACCCATAAAACGTTTTACTGGTTTCTATATGGGACATTTATAGCAGGGCTACCATTTCGTTGCCCAATGTTCCTACATGGGCACGTATCCAATGTAGTTTAAGGTTTTTGTCCTGTTGGAAAATATGCAAATAAATATTGTATATCTTGAACCAAAGGAGTTTGACTATGACCAGCTATTGTTTAAATGCTTGAGGCACTGTCAGAAACCAAAAACTACAGAAAATGTTGATAAATACCAAAATTTGAATAATTTTTTATATTCATAAACTAAAACTAAATACTTAACGGCTAAATAAGAGGCTCACCACATCCTCCTTAAGCTATGAAATTCTCACCTAAGAGGCAATTTCCTCTTGGCTGAGAAGCCCTGCTCTAGGTTCTAAACTTTTCAAATTGTCCTTCTTACATTAAATAATTGAGATATGTATGCTAAACGTATTCAAAACATTAATGAACTGTTTTGCGTTTTTTTGTACTTGCGAAATTTTCAAATTCTTTCCAAATCACCTTCTTCTTGCTGCGTATTAGATGTCCTGCAAATATTCGGCTTATTTTTCCGGAAAAAATGAATATGCTTAATAATGATGAAACACGAGATATCCGTGAATTTACAGACATCATTAAAACTCTATTCTTCATTTTACTTGTTTTTTATCATTTTGTTCTGTGCATTAGGGAGCCTCTTTTCAAATGTACGGAGAACCTCTCGCAGAAATCCATACTAAAAGACATATTTTCCGAGTAATACCCGCGGCAATTACCCCTTAATAGATTTTTTAAATCCTTCCGAGACTGATCAAGACATTGATAGAAAGGAAATGGGAGCGAGGTAAAGAGAACATGCTGGAGGTGACAGGAATCTTTGAGCCATTAAAAAGAAGAAGGAGGGGGAGAGAAAAGAGAAAAATCTCGTATTCGAAGGATTTCTTCTTCGTTGAGCGCTGCATTGGGTGAGATTGAGTGCATGATGGCAAAAGAAATCTTTTATTTTTACCTTAAGACGCAGAAAGTGAAGTATCGTGGAAGAAATGAACTGTTTTCAGTTTAAAAGATTTAATGGCGTAAGGAGAAGAATGGTGTCCAGATTGAGGACAGAGAAGAAAGGTATTTCAGGAATTCTTTGTTAATACTTATATAATATAATATCCTAACAGTAGAAAATACTTCCCAAAGGACCAATACCTTATAACCAAAAGGTTTTTTTTAATAAATTTATTAAAGGAACCTGAATGCATCTATGCCATTTATTGTTCTTCTCTACGCCATTTTCACGACTATTCCTTATGGAGTTCACCTCGGGTAAACAGTTTTCAGGATTGTTTGGTTTGGTTTATTTAATTATGGCAATGCACTCGAGAGCTATCTGCCTAGGAAAAGGATGTCTTCTTGGAGGACTTTCTAGAGAAATCAAACTCGTATACACGTTACACATGGGGACAAACGACGAAAAAAGCTCCCTTGCAGCCAGCCCGTTCGCCGGGAAATTCGAATCGATTTTTTTTTTCACTAGGTTGAACTGTATGATATTGCTGAAGTTCTCTTGAAATATTATTCTTTAATGCCACTTATAATTTAGTTTCTTCATTTGTAAACGGTGTTTATTCTGTGGTTATTCATATTGTGTTCTTTAATTTTGAACATTAATATAAATTCTCTAACCAAATGATCTTGCTATCTTAAAATAACTGATTGAACTAAATTGCTAAACTTATTTTTAAGCATATTCTATTTAACACTCTTCTGTGAATCTCTTTGATAATTTTGATGTTAATTATGTTTTAATTGTGATAATTTATCTAAGTGCAGCTAGTGTTTCTGTATGCCCCACTTGCTCACAGCATGACTTCTCATGAGATCCCTTGCGTATTCTACTCATCATTCGTTTCTGTAAATTTCTTCGATAATTTCGAAGTTATAATTATTATAATTATTTTCCAGAAATGCTATGGAAGGCGCCAGAGGTGTTGCGATGTCCATCTGCTCATCCGAAAGGAACACAGAAGGGCGATGTTTATTCATTTGCGATCATTCTTCACGAAATTCTTGTCAGAAAAGGCCCATTTGGAGCGAGTAATCTTCCAGCAGAAGGTAAGTGTAATTTGTTTTCTTTGCCTTACCACCAAATTTCCTTTCAAGATCTATTTATTTCTGTCATGGTCGTTTAGTTTACTTCCATGTATAAAGTAATTACTTAACCGTACAAAAATTAATTTATTTCATTCAACTAAATGTTCGGGCTTTGGCTTGGAGGATCTGCTGAAAAAAAAAAAAAAAAAAACTGCAATTAAATTATTATTAAAACTTTTTTTAAAAAAATTAAATTTACATTATTCACATGGAAGAAAACCACTAAAATAAGAAATGCGGCTAGCCCGTTTACTTGGGATGGAACGTGGATCAAACTACCATCATTCAGCAGTTTTAACTACCCAGAAACTGGAGAACCCCTTGATGAAAGAAATCCAAGCAAGAGCGAAGAGGCAAAAAGTGAAAATATTGTATAAAAAGATTTTTAATGCAAAGATAGACAAAAATTACGACAAATTTATCGCCATTAAAGGCAATTTTGTTTTGTTTTACCAGATTTTTCGATTTTCTGCTTTTAAGATATTTTGTGGAACTGTGTATGCTAGAAAAAATAGTGGTTACGTTCGCTAGATAAAGCATATGGAAAACGAAAAAAAAAAAGGTTACTGTGCTACTGTTAGCTTTATTTTATTTCAGACGTATTGCTCAAAAAGAGACAAATAAACTTCCACTTACGACGTTGAGTCATACAATTATCGAAACTGTGGTTTGTAAAGTACTTTTATTTAACTAACCAATTATTGTGGTGGCAATCGGAAGGAATTCGTCTGTTACGAAGATCAACGTGCTCAGGTGCATTACGTCTACGTTTTATTTTCCGTTTTAAAAATAGTTGCATTTAAAAATTTGTAGAATAAGAAATGGTGTGAAAAATAAATGTTGGTTTTTTTAAAAAAAGTGTCGGCTCAGTTTTATGTACCTGGTACATAACGACTCATCTACGAACGTTCTACATCAAGAATAGAGCATGGAACCATGAATTTACATTCTTACCCCTCTCAACGACTGTCTTTATTTCTAGTTCAGTGTTAGCATAAGCGTGTTTTTTTTTTTTTTTTTTTTTTTTTTTTTTTAATATGATTAGGGCTAATGTAAATAGTAAATGAAAGTTTTATCAAAGGAGCAGAAAAGGGAACATAAGGGGGGGGGAAGATCACTACTTCAAATCGTTAAATTTTCCAAAGCTACAATAGTGATTTGGGAGCACACGAACAAATAAAAATCTGAAAGCTTTCCGATTTTGCATTACGCACAAGGGGACTTAACGTTTTTCGTGTTATCTTTATTTATTAAATATCATGTTCTTCGCCCTTAAACCATAAAATTAAATTCAACTGCAATCATTCAAAATATTTAAAAGAGCGTATCTTTAGAATTTCCGATACACAGTCTCACGCGCTTAACATAATTTTTTTTTTTTTCGTACAATTTTGCCATTGCTCGCTTTGAAATCGTTGAGTTTGTTAATCAAAAATTCGTTAAAGTTTTACAAAATATGAAATAGATAATGAAAGATATTCCATATTCCAAATTAGGGCTTCCAGATGCCCATATTCGGTGGAGGATTACGTTAATCAAAATTGGATGGCCCCAGGTACCGTTGTTTTATCACAATGCGAGAAACATACATACATTTATGCAAATTCTTCATTATTTAAATTCTTTAAATATGACACAGGGCGATAATATTGAGTGTCAACAATTTGAAAAGTGAAAAGGACATTTAAAGTTTTGAACGCAAAATGCCAAAACGAAATGAATAGCCCTTCTGGGCTACAAAAGGAAGTTTAAAAAATCAAGTAACTCATAAAATGACTTTCTGCTCTAAGTCCGAAATATGATTTCGAAGTTCTCAATATGTAACGTAATTCAAAAACGTCCGAAGAAATTTTTGATTGAGTACACTCTAGTCGAATACACATTTGTGTTGTCATTTTTAAACTAAACGTGTGCTGAAAGCGAGTATATGTGTTGATGAAAAGATTTGTTTGGAACTGGAGGAGCTGAATACGTTCAAGTTATGCCGAATGTGTTGTCGCTGACATTAATTGTGACATTGACAAATTGGACATGACACATGACAAAAATCGCAACTTCATCATCTGGTTGAAGAACTGAGCCCAACGTTTCTAAGCTACTAGGTTTAAATGTGAAGAAGTTTACAACGAAACAACTGCGGTGAATGGAGCCAAAACGTTCGTAAGCGAAAAGCTGAAAAGCCCCGTGAAGCAAATAAATTTAATATAATTAATAGTGCGCTTCAACCGACAATTAAGGAGACGTTGTAATTAATTCAAATAGGGCTTAATTGTAAATTGGGAAACTTACCCATGTGTTAGAGACGAAATTCAAGGAAATGCATTTCCATCAATCACGTTTAAATGTCAAGAACCAAGAAGTACTTTCTATTTCTCGGTCGAAGTAAAGAATAGATCATGGTTTATCGAGCTAGAGTCTATTTAGACCATATCTAAGGCTGTATGAAGTTTGCGAAGAAGGATGTTGTTGTATACTCTTTGCACGTGTAGTTGCATGAGCAGTGATCTCGCTTCTTACGGAGTTTTCACTGATAAAACTCTGAATATTTGTTTTAGGAAAGAGTTAAATTCTGCAAAGATCGGGCACCCGTACAAGGTATTTAAAATGCGCCACATCAAACGACGAATCTCCAATATTATTCTTTATAAGTTCAATATATTTAACACACTCTTCCCGATACTTAGATCCTTCCAAACGAGGAAATACATATTCTTTCAAATGTACATGAAATAAACAAAAAATGCGACAGTTCTATATCTCCCATTCTACTGGACCGATTGACAAAATTCAAATTACGTTTTCAATGCTTCGAAAGCGTGACTTACTATATATATATTAGATTTATATATAGTATTGTCCTAACATTGGTATTCTGTCGCAAAATTGGACTTTTTCTGAAATAGCATGCCAATTTTTTCCATATTTTGATTCTATGACTCCACTTATGCCTAAATGTGAAATTTTGTAAAATTTGGTGCGAAATTTACGAAGAAATATAAAATTTATCTTGGCCCATTTTTTTCAGTTTGCGCCAATACTAATTGATTTGGCGAGCTTCTTAATTCATAGCAACCTATTTTCCTTTTTTCCACTGTACACAAGGGAGAAAAGTCATCGTTCATACATTTAAATAATTTTAACAAAGTGCGCAAATCGCATTTGGCGTTATTATCCCTTATAACAAATACGCCAAATTTCAAAACGCGTCGCTCTCTAAATTCACGTCTATCCTAGGAAATTTTGAATAAAAAAACTCTAGTTTTTTGCAGGTATGCTTAGAAATAAATCTACTTTTAGATGATAGTAAAACTTCTGTAGGTTATAATTCAAATGTTTTCGAAATATTTATAAAAGCTATTTAAAAATAAGTCATAAAAAAATGTACGAATTTTATTTTTAATCAACCTAAATTTCGAAATGGGAAAGGAAGAATCAAATAAATTTAATAAAAAAAGAGACACTAATACAGTCAAAAGTCGTTAATCCGGACTCGTCGGGACTTCGGCGATTCCGGATTATCGATTTTTCCGGATTATAGATCATCAATTTAAATCTGGTAAAATGGCATGCAGAAATTATAAAATTAAAAATATGAAACCGTACTTTATTAAATAAAGAACAATTATGATCCAAAGGGTATCAAAATTTACAAACAAAAATTAATATTTGTTTGTTTACTTTATTAAACATTTCTTTCAATGTAAGCTGTTTAAGTTGCTTCGTTTTTTATGTGATAATACATTCTCTTTAATTCTATAACATAATTTCTTGTTCAGTTACAAAGTTCCGCCGTTCAAGTCCTATAATTGCTGTGTCGAGAATACCGACTAATTTGTCAATCGAAATTTTTTCGTTTTCAATAGCCTCTGTCACTTTCTTCGCTATCGGAAGCGAATTATAATGACGAGGAATTTGATTTAAATCATATCAAAGACGGAGTACATCGAGATGAAATACTACATTTAGTAAGGAATTATAAAGCCAAATAAAATAAAAACATCTGCCCTGAAGATAAGGATAATGCTGACAGATCAACTTCCAATTCATTGCGCCCCGCGGCGTTAAAGATAAACAAAGTTTAGATAAACAAACGTTAAAGTTTAGATAAACAAAGGATATTTCTTTATCCATTTTTTGCAGCAATTCCACTTTTTGTTTAATAGACTTCGAAACATACTTTCGCTTTGTAGATCCTTTACATATTAGTAAATATATATCAGAAATTCTATTTGACATAATCGAAAGTTCAAGCTTACTTTTATAAAATTGCTCTAACAGTCTGCAAAAAATAATAAGCCGAATCCAATTCGAAGATTAAGGAACAACGCAATCTGCAACATTAACTGAATTAGATAATTTTAGCTTAGCTTATACCGTCCGTTATACATTAAACGCGCATTCGTAAACGTATTTTGCACACGCGCACACGCATATTCGCAGCCGTAAAGGTCTTACGCGCATGTGTCAACGCGACGCATGCGCAGAAAGTTTGTAGCTTTGAGGTCCGGATTATAGATCATTCCAAATTATGGGTGTCCGAATTAGCGACTTTTGACTGTAAATGTATATAATATTCAATTCACATGGAGGAGCTAAAATTCTGAGAGCTCATTTTTTAGAAACAACTCATGCGATTTTTACAAAACTTGCTAGTTTGGCATAATATGAATCGTAAAATCGAAATATTGAAAAACAATTTCAGAAAAATCCCGATATTGTGTCAAAATACCTATATCAGAACAATGCGATATATAAATGTAATACATATTCTAAGTCGCGCTTTCGAGATATGAAAAACTTAAGTTGAATTTCGTCAATCGACCCAGTAGAACGAGAGATACAGAACTGTCGTATTTGTTTTGTTTTGCTCAGTGAACATAAAAGATTTATATCTTTATTTCTTGTATTAAAGAGCGAAGAATCGGTATGCATATATATACCTCGCTTCGTGGAAAAATATCAGCATCAAGAGCAAATATCCAAACTGTGAATACGCGGAGCCAAATTTTGAATTCCTTTATCATTTATTTCATATTGTATACAAAATTAATTAATTCTTGATTTACAAGCTTGGTGATTGAAAAACAAGAAGTAGCAACACTGTTCGAAATAAACCATTTTTTATCTTAGGCGCTCGAAACTGATGCCATTTACTACAACATAAGATATTTATCTCTCAATTTTAACCAACTGTTTAAAAGCTATGTGTTGTTATTGCCTGAAATAAAATACTTTTATTTCCCACTCGCCAGCATGCAGCCATTTACAAAGGGTAATATATTTAAATTTCAAATTTAATTTGTCTGCTATTGAGTAATAAACTAAGCGATTTGAAAACAATAAACGTAGTTCTTAAGAACACTTTTCTGTGTTTCAGTCTGATTATTTAAATAAAAGTACATTTAAGTCATGCAAAGTATTTTATATTAAATTTATATTTTATTATTTTATATTAAGTAGTATTAAATATTCTTGCAATTACGGATTGCAAGCGCTACTGATTTTAAAGACGTAGGATTGAAAAAGTTGTTATGCAGTCCTTTTTTTTTCTTCCAAGAATCGTATATTGAAATGCTCCTTTCACCTCCTTTCCTTCTGGCTTTGGGAGGCCCACCAGCGGCCGAGCGGTAAAGTCACTGAACACCGGTTGTTCGGTCCTAGGTTCGAATCCCGCGAACGGGCTGGCTGCATGGGCGTTTTCGTGGATCTCCCCATGTGTAACGTATATACGAGGCAGTTTCCCTTAGAAAGTCCTTCACGAAGGCATCCCTCCTCTTAAGCAGATAGACCTCGAGTGCTTTGGTATGGTACGAACAGGGTTTATTTTATCCCGCGCAACGATTAATAAGAATATTTAATTAATTCATCATACTGAACGTAGCCAAAAGCATGCTTTAGAAAAGTGGCTTTGTAAAATTAAATAGTTAAATAAATGAGGGAATTTAACATAAAAAATGTCCAAAATAAGCAGAAATATCGGCGAATGCAGTTTCATCAGAGATCAGGGAACTTATCAAATCATTTCTGTTACGGTCACACTTTCATATAACCAATTAAAAATTCGATTTTTTAAAACCTGCGACTACCGTCTGCCATTTCATTCTCGTTGTTCAGTATTCGAATCGATAAGAAGGATATCAAATTTAAAAAAAAAATCGAAAAAAGAAAGAAAAACTGAAAGAATTGAGAATTTAAGGCTTTTCGTGCTGCGGTGTGTATTTAATTATGGCAAAGCACATTAGGGCTATCTGCCTAAGGGGAGGGATGCCTTCGTGGAGGACTTTCTAAGGGAAACTGGCTCGTATACACGTTACACATGGGGAAAACCACGAAAACAACCATGCAGCCAGCCCGTTCGCGGGATTCGAACCTGGGACCGAACTACCAGTGTTCAGCGACTTTACCGCTTGGCCGCTGGTGGGCCTTTTCGTGCTGCAGTTTACCAAGCTGCTCTTGGACTCCCTCTTGCAAACACACTTTTTTGTCTTTTCGCTTTATTATTAAATATGACTTTCTTGGCACTTTCCCAACGTAACATTCAACAACAAAATCACTTTTTTTATTCAAAACAGCGTATCCTTAGAATTCCCCATAGAGCGATAGGATTGCCGTACTTTTTTTTTTATATTCGCTATATTATTTCTTTGACAACGTGCCGCTCGTGCAGTCAAACACCTAAAACGCCCAAACGCTTAATACAGAAAAAAGTATAGTTAGTTGAATGAGTTCAGCTACTTTCACGTCATAAAAATATTTAAAATTTCTGTTAAGATATATCATGATTTTAATGCATTTTTATTTAACTCGATCACATTAAAAAGTAGAAAAAATTTCTTAAGAACTGTGTTCATTTCTTTTTAATCACTTGGTTTGCTATTCTTACTGAATTGCAGTACGGTGGGGCGTGGAAAAAATATTTTATTTCCGGTAGTGGCAGGACATTGCTTTTAAGTATCCCAATTTGTAAATTAAATTTGAAAGACGAGTATCTTAATTTTTGCCGAATGTCTATAATCTGGTCTCCTGGAGATAAAAATGTTATATTTCGAACGGGTTGTCATTTCTCACTTTCAAATTGCTGAGTATTGATAAAAAATTCATTAAATTTGTACAAAATATGAAATAAACGAAAAATTCGAAATTCAAAATTCGGGCTTCGAAGAGCCGCTGTTAGGGTGGAGGAGTACGTGTGTTCAACGTAGGTGTCATGGATTTTTTCCTAGTATGAGAAACACTAGTTCTTTTCCTACTATGAGGAACATACATATAGATTCTTAATTATTAGCCCCTAGGGCATTAGCCCAGAAGAGCTATTAATTTCGTTTTGTCATTTTGCGTTGAAAACTTTAAATTTCGGATCTTTTTTCAGACTGTTGCCGCCAAATAGTACAGCCCTCTATTACATTTAAAGAAATTAAATAATGAAGAATCTGCGCAAATGTATATGTGTTTCTCGCATTGTGATAAAACAACGGTACTTAGACCCACCCAATTTTGAATAACGTACCTTTACACCGAATATGGACATCTGGAAGCCCGAATTAGGAATTTCTTTAAACTGTAAAGAAGTTTTGATTAATAGACTCAACGATTTAAAAGCGAGCAATGGCAACACTGCACGGAAAAAAATTATTTCCAGCGCGCGAGACTGTATATCTGAAATTCTAGAGATAGGCTCATTTTAAAATTATTTTGGGATATTGATGTTGAACTGAATTTTACGGTTTAAGTGCGAATAACATGATATTTAATAAATAAAGGTTAAAAACAAACGTTAAAAAAATGCCTTTCGGGAGGATTGTAAATCAGATTTTATAGGTTTAATTTTTTATGTATTTTACAAATGTAAACGAGTGTTCAGAAACAAAATCATAAATCTTAATGGCGAAAAGTTTCAATTTTAATTAATGTGATGATCGCCAAATTGATGCATTTTTTAAAAAATATTTAGCACGAAATTACTTAACTTAATTCTGAAATCACTTCGTTCAAAAATATTCAACCTATACCTTGTTTTTCTTGGCAAATTATTGACTTCTTCTTAGTAAGAAGAGGGAAAAGTCACAGGAGATTCTGACACAAAATTAATGCGGACAAAAAGTGGATTTCATGACTGATAACCGCCTCTGGTGCTAAAATAGCGATATTATTTAAAAACAATCAAGTTGAGAGACTTCGATTAAACATTAGTTTTCACCCGACACTTTCTTTAGTATTAGCTAAACGAACTGTGACTAAAGCCTTGTATATCTCCAAGACGTATGTTTATGTGTAGAATTAAAGGAAATGCATCCGAGCTATGTTTTCTTAACACCTTAAAAAGCAAAGAAAAAGCTCGACAATAATCATAACAAAAGGTAAACAAATTCGGAATAAGAAAAAACGGATATTTTTTCATGCCTCGAAATATTCGACTCCTATTTCCTTTCAGTACATACAGGATTCGAAAGAAAATTCTTATCAGCATTTCTCACAAAAGTAGCTTGTAAGGAATTCTGCTTCAGTATCTGCGAAACATGAGACTTTCTTTTTATATTATATCAGAAAGGTGTATTTTTTGTCACTGTGGCACGACGTAATGATCAGCTTTCTGACTAGTGAACTAAAACTCCGTCCAATCCGCTTAAACGAAACCTAATTTAATTTAGAGTTCTGCACAGCAAGATATAATATGCTTTTTTTCTATCCTTTCCAGAAATAGTAAGAAGGGTGAAAGAAGGACCAGGTAAGACTTCGGGAAAATTATTTCGACCCCTTCTGCAGGAGACGGACATGCAGGATTACGTTTTGCAGACCATGACAGAATGTTGGACAGAAGTTCCCGAAAGCAGACCTGACTTCAGACAGGTGAAGGAAAAACTCAAACATATGAAAGATGGAATGTAAGATCTTCCAAAGTGTTTCTAGTTTTTAAATAATAGCGCACGTTTGAAACTAATTCTTAATTTTAGATGTATGCTGGTTACATAGATAATCTCCATGCATTTCGAAGGAAACCGTCACGTGTCTCTCTTCGTCAGACAGCAATATAATTTTGCATCTCTTGCTATAACCAAGTTATTTAAATGAACAGAAAAAAAATTTAGTTTATTCAGTTATTGGCAAAGGGGTTTACGGCTGTGGAAAAAAAATATATTTTATTGCAAAATTTTCTAAAAAACTGGATTGCATATGCTACATTTGAGGAAAACAATAAAGGAAAACCTCTTGTAGTCTTGATTAATGGATAAAATGTGCGCATTTTAACAACCTACAGATTTCGACCTGGAATAAAATATGAAAACACTAATCAAAGAAATAACAATTATCGAAACATTAGAATCGAGAATCAAAAGTAAACGAATAAAAAAAATTAAAATCTCAAAACTTTCAGATTTTATATTACGCCAAAAGGGGCGTTTTTTTAACGTTTTCTGTGTTACCTTTATTTATTAAATATCATGGTTTTTCGCACTTAAACCATAAAATTCAATTCAACAGCAATATCACAAAATATTTAAAAGAGCATGCCTTTAAAATTTCCGATACACGGTCTCGCGAGCTGGAGATAAAAATGTTTTTTCCCCGTACAGTTTTCCCATTGTTCGCTTTGAAATCGTAGAGTTTCTTAATCAAAAACTTATAAATGCTTTACAAAATATGAAATCTGTACATATAAATAAAAGAAAGAGTCTGTCTGTGTGTTTCGTTAGTTCTCTGCGTAAGCTAATAGAACCAGGGCTACGAAATTTGGTACATATGTGCATCTAGACACCACCCACTGCATCTCGAAGCGAGTTTTTCAAAATTCGAATCACATTTTTTTTATTTTACATTTTCTGATGAAATCGCATTATTTTGAATAGTTTCATTCTTTTAGAAATGTGGTTTCGGCAACAGTTTTCCATTCAATGCTCTGTATACTGGACTGCTGACTGTTGAAAATATGAGATAAAATATTCATTGCTTATTTCACGGTTTTTAAGATACTGAAAAGTTTAACATGATTTTTGTTTTTGTAACGGAAAGGTGGTTAATTTATTTATTAATCTAATTAATATTTGTATTAAGGGATATTGCTTATATTTCATTGTAATTTTTTTAATATGTGATATATTTTTATTGATTTTTTTATCAAATTGTTCTGCAGAGTAAAATTCTGTGCAGGTTTTTAATTTAATGTTAGTCACTTTTACGGAACATTTAAAATCCAGATGAAGGCTGGCCGCGTAGCGGCTAGTAGATAATAAAACAAATTCCAAATGCCCGTATTCGGGGGGAAGACGTACGTTATTCAAAGTGTGATGGCTCTAAGTACCGTTGTTTTATCACAATGCAAAAAAACATACTTACATTTATGCAGATTCTTCATTATTTAATTTCTTCAAATATAATACAAGGCTCTAATATTGGGTGGCAACAATTTAAAAAGTGATTCCCCGTTTATACTGAATAAACGCAAAATGGCAAAACGAAATTTATAGCCATGAGCTAACCCTTTGGGTTAAAAATTCAAAAATAAGATTTGTGAATTAAAATCTCGAGCTTCATTAGTAATTTTTGATGAATATGATAGATTTGTGAAAAGCTAATTCAGAACTTGCAAAAGATTTTTGGAATAACTTTCGAAGAGTTAATAAAGTTTCTTTTTAAAAGAATGGTTGGGAGCTATTAATGACAGAGATGCAAGATTTGATTTCTTTTTCTTTCTGCTCATAAAATATTCGTGTTTTCCTTGCGAATTTGTAACTATTTCTGAATTTTACCCATGAATGCTAATCGACAATGAATGTCTTATATTCTGATAAAATTGAAGTTCAAGATAACTGCATTCAAAGGATAAACAGAAGATTAAATAACTCGGATACTAAGGAAAATTTTGAAACATTTTTCTGAATAACAGAAATGGAAAATGACATAAATATATGAAAACTTTTCCAAATACACTGCCCTCTAAAGATTAAGGAACGGCATGTTTCTGTACCTTATTTGAGAATGAAGCAATATAGAAACTAGAAATTTACAGGACAAAATTACAGGAAGATCACTACACAGTTCTTTAATGAAATCGACTTAGAATGCTTTTAAAGTTCAACACATACATGAATTACAGAAAAAAATTGCTCTTTGGTCAGAGAAATTCAGTCTTGGAGAAACAGTACTTCACAGTTTTTTTACGAACAATGTGGTGGTAACATTGCAAAAATGGACTCTAATAAGCGATGTGTCACCCGTACTGCAGTACATTGACGGCAGCGACGTTCCATACTGTAAATTAGTTGTCAGTTCGTAAAATGGGAAGCAACGACCAGACATGGAGAAATTCTTGTTCAAACTCATCTAGCAACTTTGGAGGACTAAAAGCAGCAGCCTGCCTCCCAGGGTATTTCCAAAGATGTTCTATCGAATTCATGGACTGAGCTGCTCATTCCAAACGTTCCATACCGTGACCCTCAAGATATTCTTTAGCAAGCGGAGCTCGAAGCGGTCACGCATTGGAGTCCATCAGAAGAAATCCAGGCCCAATAGCAGCGGCATATGGAATGACATATTAATCAAGAACCTCGTCTCGATATCTCACACCGGTCAAAGTTCCTCCATGGAACACATGCAGGCCAGTGTAACCGCCGACAGAGATCCCAGTCCAAACTATTATTCCACCAGCTCTGTAATTGTGTCTTTCGACTATGTGGAATTGGTTGCATCTGGTGCGTTGTTATCTCCAGATCAGCTGACAACCTGAATCACTCTCCAATGTGGACTTGGACTCGTCTGTGAAGAGAACAGACGCACATTGTTGACTGGCCCAGGAGAAATGCTCTCTTGCCCAGCATACACGGGCACCTCTGTGTCCTCCGGTCAAGGAGACACAAACAACTGGATGTCTTGCATAAAGACCTGTATTGTGCAGGAATCTGCGTACTGTAGTAGCTGAGATCTCATACCTGTTGCCACTAAATGATCCGCCATGAGCTGAAGCACCATATTGTTGTTCTTCCTTCGGACCAAAAGAGCTAAATGATGGTCTCCCGGAGGTGTTGTAACTCTTGGTCTGTCTGTAACATGTCTTCTAGCCACAGAATATTCAGTTTCCAACTGATTCGATAGTCGATGGACCACGTTACGAGAGACATTGTGAAGTCTAGCAGCATCAGTCTGTGACAACCCCATTACCTTAAATCCGATCGCCAGACGCTTAAAATAATCGAGCAAACAACTGCTCCAGAACATTGATAGACTCTCCTAGATATTGTCAAATAAATTTCTAATAGCAACTGAAGATAAACTTTTGAGTAAAACTTACAATTTTTGCATTTTTTTTCACCTTCTATATTTCATTTCTATAAAATAAAAGTGGTAGCTATTTTTTGGATATATTTTCTTAAACTTTGTTATTATCAGGCATATAAACTGGTAATTTAACTATTACTGACATTTTTATAATGGTGAGCTTTGAAAAGCATGCTATTCCTTAACTTTTGGTGGGCAATGTACTTCTGGCTATATGCGAATAAAAGTAAAAACCTGGCCCCCAATAATAGATAAATGTTTTAATCAAACACATTAAACAATTAAACATACTTTTAACTACAACAATAATCCTGTTTATATGTAATGGAAACAAAAAAATGTGCCTTTAAATTTGCCAAAAATGTGCCTAATATGCCTGATAATGAAGAATTTTCTATTAAAATTTCCTAAAAAGAAATTCAAGCGAATTAAATGTAATTCGTCTTATGTTTATCGTTCTCATCCTAATACACTGACTACCAATAAGTATTTGGACACCTATGCCAATGACGATATCTGCGGTCCTAAGGTACGTCACGGACTTCGCCGGTATATATCGTGTAGGAAACAGCATCGGGTTTAGGCGCATGCAAGATGCTTCGCAGTTCGGAGCTCTCTGATTTCGAAAACGATATAATTATCGGGTATCACAAATAAGGCCGATCCTTAAGGGACATATCTAGCGATCTGAAGTACCCAAAATCGACAGTGGCCTATGTGATTACGAAGTGGAAGGTGAGCGGTGATTGTCGGAATGTGCCCCGAGTCGGCAGACCAACGAAACTGGGAGATAGAGACCGACGAGTGCTGTCCAGAGAAATTCGGAAGAAGCGCACCCAACCGATGGCCCTCATCCACAAGGAGTTTCAACAGGCATCCGGGAATATTGTTTCAATGAATACCATCCGTAAGGAAGCAGATCTGCTTGGTTTTCATGGTCGTGCTGCTGCCCATAAGCCTTTGATCACAAAGTCCAACCGCGCTGCTCGGTTAATGTTGTACAAAACACATCGAAATTGGACCGTAGATCAGTGGAAATGGGTTCTTTGGAGTGACGAATCAAGGTTCACCCTTTACCGTTCGGATGGAAGGGTCTGGGTCTGGCGTCTACCTGGAGAACGTCTCCTGCCAGAATGCATTGTGCCAACAGTCAAGTTCGGCGGAGGTGGAATTATGATCTGGGGGTGTTTCTCCTGGTATGGGCTGGGACCCTTGGTCCCCATTCATGGTAAGCTCAACTCCGATGCCTACTGCACTATTTTGGATGACAATGTGCTTTCTACGTTGTGGCAGTTTTACGGGTTGAACCCCTGTTACTTTCAGGACGACAATGCCAGTTGTCATGTTTCGACGTTAACCTAGGCTTGGTATGGTGCCAATGGAGGTCATCGAATGGACTGGCCTGCCCAGAGTCCAGACCTGAACCCTATCGAAAACCTCTGGGACGAGTTGCATCGCCGAATTCAGGGGTGCACTACCCGTGCAAAATCAGTGAAGGAACTTCTATGTCTTCTCCAAGCCGAGTGGAAGAAAATACCACTAGCTGTCATACAAAGACTTGTGGAAAGTATGCCCCGGAGGGTCCACACTGTAATTACCTCTCGTGGAGGCTCTACCAACTATTGATTTTGAATAAAGTTAGTTTTTCTTTTCTATCACAGGTGTCCAAATACTTATTGGTAGTCAGTGTACGACTGAGCTATGTTTTGGTTTGCTTTTATTCAATTAAGGCAAAGGACACGGGTCTAGGACTTTTCCTCGTTGCCATTTCACGGTTACCGTCTCGCCGTCAACACATATTTTTCTTTACGTAATTGTATTTTATCTTCCAGTATTATACTCGTATTGAATTTATTTAGTTTAATAATTCTGTTAACTTTTGTATGCTTAGTAAAGATTGATTTTAATCTATATAGTTATTTACAAATATGAGATATAAAGAAATTACACATAGTTGGAAAAAAACGGTTCTAGGAAAAACCCCCACAGGGAAAACGTACACAGGAATAATGCTCACAGGTATAAATGCTCACAGGAAAAAAGACCCACACAGAAATATGCCCATATAGAAAAATACTCTCATGGAAAAATGCTCACTTAAGAAAAACGCTCGCATGGAAAAAAACTCACATAGATATATGCTCACATGGAAATAAGCCCACTGATAAATAAAATACGTAAAAATAGCCTTACATTAATCAATCAATAATTAATCGATTCCAACATCGCACACCTACTTGAATTTTTTAAAGAAAAATTATTTGATCATTTGAAAAAATTATTGGACAAATGCTAATATTAAGGCGGTATATAAAAGAATAAAAACTATAGAAAAATTTTGCATGTACTGTAATATTTTTGACACTGCCCCCTGTACGACATCTTTTTTTCCTGTAACTGCCAATAGTTTAATTTTGTTTTTTATTTACTCTAATTTTGCATACTTTTGATCTATAGAAATTTATGTTTGAATGTAGTTATTTAAGTTTGGAAACAAAAAAGTTCTAGAAGACCACAGTTTCCAATCGAAGTGTGGAATCATTATGAAGCAGCCTTTGAAAAATCTCCTAAAGCAACAATTATTACGAAAGCTTTCATAAGGTACTAAATTCTTATTTAATTGTAGCCATCCTAGTATGTGGTTTTTGTTTGACGGACTGAAAAAAAGATTTAGCCCGTCAACGTTTATTACTAGCTATTGTAAATACAAGGCGTACTGAAGTAAAAGAAAATATGAAAACTTACATTTGGTAATCTTGAATCATGTAAGAAACTATGATGAAATTAGATATTTACGTATATTAGCTAATATTCAGTGAGTTTGTAGAGACATTAGGTATTTTGGAAGCAAATGCGAAAAGTGAGCAAAGCCTTTGTCGGGAATCGAACCACGGACCTCTGGTATACGCGCCCAGCTTGCAGACCACCAAACTACGAAGGCATGCTAGGAAGGCGGAAGAAATACCTTATAAGTTTATGTGAAATATACATGATTTATATATAACGAGGTATTTTGCGTAATTTAAATAAAATAATTATTTCTTTTTGCTTATTCTTCTAAATGTTTATATTATGAAATGTGTAACTTATATTTACTATTGACTATTATTTTATTTTTTTAACAATAAAAATTGTAATAATTTTTCGCTGTATATTCTGTTTTGTATTTTTTTCCTTCCTCCTAATTTCCCTCCTCCTCAATTTAAGTAATTTTTCTTTGAAAAATTCAAGTAGATGTACGATGTTCAAATCGATTAACTTATTGATTAATTAATGTAAGGATATTTTTACGTATTTTATTTATCAGTGGGCTTATTTCCATGTCAGCATATATCTCTGTGAGCTTTTTTACGTGCGAGCATATTTCTTAAGTGAGCATTTTTCCATGAGAGTATTTTTCTATATGGGCATATTTCTGTGTGGGGCTTTTTTCATGTGAGCATTTATACCTCTGAGCAATAAATATTCTGTGAGCATTTTTCCTGTGGCTTTTTTCCTGTGGCGTTGGAAAATTATGTCAGTATCAAAAAGAACTGTGGTAAACCTCTGATATACAGAGGTTATATTATCTATTTTAAAATAGGTAATTTTTTTCTTTTTTAAAATAGACATATTTTTCGTGAAAATTCAGGATTCGTCAAAATTGCTTGAAATTTTAATTCTTGTCAGCACCTTACTCTCTTAAAATTAATTTGTTCATGTGTAACAATACATTTGTATAATACTGTACACAAAAAAATTTAATTAATTAAATTAATAAACTAAATAGAGTTATTATTTTAAATCAATATAATACGTTAAGGTATAATGCAGTCGTGTAAAGAAAAATATGTCTTGGTCTATCTGCCTAGGGGGAAGGAGGACTAAGGGAATTTGTAATGTGTATAGATATACACATTACACAAGGAGAAGGCCACGAAAACTCTCATGCAAACAACCGGGATTCAAACCGCAGACTATAACTACCAGTGTTCAGTGATTTTACTGCTCGGGAGCTGGTGGGATCATTTGGAATGTAGAAGCTCCATGATTTAATCATAACAAACTATCTCGTGCAACGCTAAAATCTGAATCCTTTCATATTTTTTTCCTTTACCTGCCTCGAAATACAGCTGTATTTCTAGCATATGCATGTCTAAAGTGTGTTATGAAAAATTATATGATAGCACTAATATGATTTAATTCAATTGTCTTACAGAACGTCAAACATTATGGATAATATGATGGATATGATGGAGCGGTATGCTAATAACTTAGAAGAGCTCGTTGAGGAAAGAACATCACAGCTAGCTGAAGAGCAGAGTAAAACGGAAGCCCTCTTGCACAGAATGTTGCCTAAGTAAGGAACATATTCGAAAAATCTTCATTCTGCTTATCTTTTCTGTCATAAATGTAAAGAAGTTAATACAACTGTCATTGAAATCTTTATGCGCAACTGTATATAATATACGCTACTTAATTTAATCGAGGTTAATGTTATCATTCGGATATCGTCTGGATTTGCCTATGTCCCGCCGTTTCTGTACGAAAATATAGAAAACACATCTCTTATTTTTGAACAATTGAATGAATTTTATCGAACTGTTCGAGAGTGATTTTTTTTTTACATTAACGTTTTAACTTTTCGCCAAATAAGAGATCAGTTCGCTAAATGAGATCATAATAAGCAAAAAATATTGCCAAGTGAGAGGCTTAAAAAGTCTTAATTTATAATCATGTCTACATGATATATTTTTTAAATTCCTTATACGAAATAAATTGAATATTGTAACCACGATAAACTTCGATTATCGTATTTTGAAGGAAATATCCATTTCGTCTGCTCTCGATTCCATTTCGACGATTTCTTTTTTTGCATGGCGTCTTAGTTCATTTTTTACGTGAAGTCTGTTTATACGGACATCCCTGAGCTGGTCATTTGTAACGTCCATATGTTGGGAGTGGACAGTGGTGGTGGAATTTATCTGTCTTCACAGAACTAGAACCGTTTCTACGGTGGTCCGTTTAGGCTAAACAGGCTAAATAAGTCCGTCTCGAGCTGTGTAATCGCTGCGTATTAAATAATGAATAATGTTTGGGGGTTTCCACTCCTGGAATCTCCTCTGAAGTTGGAACGCAACTAGTGTAAAAGCATAAAAGCCTAGGTCTTAGCTGCTTCTCTAGTGCAGCGTATGTACAGGCAGAATAAAGACTCTTTTTTTTTTTTTTTTTTTTTTTTTTTTTTTTTTTTTTTTTTTTTCCAAAAAGACATTAAAAAATGGATTCAAAAGTTAATTTTTCATGACGTCTTTTCCGTATATACGGACGCATGTATGTAAGTATATCTCATAACTCAGAAACAATTAACCGTTGAACACTGAAATTTTGTATATAGGGCTGCTGTAACATTTAGTTCTGCACCTCCCTTTTTTGCAGCTGTTGGCATTATCAAACAAATGCCCAGGTGCGGTTGAGATAGCTTCCCCGCAAAGCGCGTTTGAGGTTGCCAGAAAATTGCAAGGAATAGCAGAGTTGGCAGACTTGGCGTGAAATCGTCCATTTGGCAATATTTTGCGACAAAATTGGCGATATGCTATAATCGGAACGAGAGCATTCTAAAACGAGTTCTTACAGGTTTGCCCCAGAATGTTCTGGAAAGCAGGAGATGTATTTGAGTGCTTTGCCGTGAAACTTTCTCCACCGTTATAGCCTGTGTTGCTGGATGTTTCAGCGTATTTATCGTAGGTCTTCGACGACAGTAAACGTGTTTTCGGAACGCTGCTGTGTAATAATGGCGCATAACTTGTGTTTTGATCTTGCCTCAAGTATTGTTGTCCAATGACAGATTGTGAACATTTACAAATGTAACCCAGTCCATTAATCTACACAAGGCCGGATGTGGTGGTCTCTTTTTTATGGAGGCACCTAATAGGTGGGCCACCGTCGCCTTTCCTATGAAAGGACGGACAGTTACAACAATGCCTTCTCCAGGATTCGAACCGAGGCCCTTCGGCATCGCAATCAGCTTCCCTGATCACTATACCAACTAGGCGGCTCGCAACATATATATATATATATATATATATATGCTATATATATATATGGTGTGTGTGTGTGTGTGTGTGTCTAAGATATAACAAAATACGATGGCTGCGCTAAGAAAAGATCGGCGAACTCAAAACTAACTATTCTAAATTTGGTATTACATTTCTATCACTTAAAATTTCCTTTGGTACTTGAATTTCAAAATCTGTCTTAAACAATTTTTGCCAATCGTATATACCAAATTTTGAATAGTTAGTTTTGAGGTCGCCGATCTTTTCTAAGCGCAGCCATCGTATTTTGTTATATCTTACATATATATACGTCAAGTCCTTTGCTCGGCTTAAAAGTCTTTATACGGCAACTGTTGGTCGTAGTGATATACTTCCTGTTACAAAAGGGTTTAAGATGACGAACATATTCATGTTTTAGCAATGTCGCATTTAAATAAAAGTTAATTTTTGACAAATAACAAAATCTAATATCTCTCCTGATTCCTATACATACGTTATACTCATTATTTGGGTAACTTTTATTTTCATTTTGACAAAATAAAATTATAAGAAGTTTGACTCTGGAACAAGAAAAATTAGCCGAGTTATTGAATTTCAAAATTTGCAACTTTGAATGTCACTTTCAATTTGTCTGCAGGAATCGATTAATTAATTTAGACTAATTCAAGAATATAAATTTAAATGAAACGCATCAAAAAATGTGTATAATTTTGTAAGCCGTATAAAGACGTCACGTGGTGTCCACGTCATGTTTTTTGAATAACTTATTGTATGTATATATTTTAATGCACTTTTAATCATATTTACATGATATTTTTTCACGATTTTTTTGAATAACTGCACAAGAATTAGGCAATATTTTTATAACTATTGACAAATCGGTGTGTATTTATTATAGCAGTGTAAATATTGGTCGATAATAATTATACAATATATGTATAGGTCAGTAGCAGAGCAACTTATGAGGGGAGAAGCCGTCATTCCAGAAACGTTCGACGCAGTTACCATTTACTTCAGTGACATTGTAGGTTTTACGGAAATGTCAGCCACGAGTACGCCAATGGAGGTAAGTTTTTGTATCATATGAGTGCAGAAGTGTCCACGGCCATTTCAGGTTACAAAACGTTTTCTTTTTTGATTTACAATATAAACGTCGTGGAATATAATATTAATAATCATTTTCATAAGAAATATGTCTGGTACTTACGTATTATTCCATCGACCGTAAAGCTATTGCCAATCACCAAAATTTAGCTCCAGTTATGGATAAGCGTGATGTTACAACGCAAAGCATCTGCGCTTTGGTTTGATGCCACTCTGGCTGATTCTCGATAAGCCACGTTTTGTTCTTATGAAAAAGATGTAAAATATTTATCATTGTAGTATTTTTCCCTTTCATTTGAATGACGATCTTGAAGTCACGAATGAAGGATAATCTTATAACACTAAGACGGTGAAAGCAGCGATAGTGAAGAAAATAAAGAACCTTTAACACAAAGAAGTTAAACGTAATTAACTAACTTTGTAATGAGAATCGACCCAAATGAAGAAAGTAGACGGCAATTTGGAAGAGAGGTTATTGAGAAACTTGTGATCGCACTAACGCGAAGCGTTTAATGAGTTGCGTGAGATATTGTCCCAAGCAAAAATCACCAGTTATTAAAAAAATAATTGTACCATGTACCTACTCGTCAAGTAGTAATAGAAATCCTTTCAATTAACATTTCATTTACATTCCCCTTTTAATTGCAATAATATTTAAGTTTGTATACATTGTAAATACTTTCTTAATCTGAACTATATTTAAACCGTTTTACGCACAGTTAATTTTGGGAAACGCAGCTTTGCTGTATGCACACTGTGTTAATAACGTTACCCCCTCCTCCGACTAGGGTTTACTATATTAGGAATGAGATTAATTGTAACAAGAAACGAATGCTAGGAAACACACTTTTTTGTTGCTGTTGGCATTATCAAACAAAGCCCAGCTGCGGTTGACATAGCTTCCCCGCAAAGCGCGTTTGAGGTTGCCAGAAAATTGCAAGGAAGAGCAGGGTTGGCCGACTTGGCGTGAAATCGTCCATTTGGCGATATTTTGCTATAAAATTGGCGATGTACCATAATCGGAACGAGAGCATTCTAAATCGAATTCTTACAGGTTTGAAAATACGATGGCTGCACTAAGAAAAGATCGGCGACCTCAAAACTAACTATTTTAAATTTGGTATTACATTTCTATCACTTAAAATTTTCTTTGGTACTTGAATTTCAAATCTGTCTTAAACAATTTTCGCCAACCGTATTTTCTTAGGTCTTGCATACATATACGCCAAGTCCTTTGCTCGGCTTAAAAGTCTTTATACGGCCTTTATTTTCGAAACTGTTGGTCGTAGTGATATATTTCCTGTTACAGAAGGGACGAAAATATTCATGTTTTGGTAATGTCGCATTTAAATAAAAGTTAATTTTTGACAAATAACAAAATCTAATATCTCTCCTGATTCCTACACAAACATTATACTCATTATTTGGGAAACTTTTATACTGATTTTGACAAAATAAAATTATAAGAAGTTTGACTCTCGAACAAGAAAAATTAGCCGAGATATTGAATTTCAAAATCTGCAACTTTGAATGTCACTTTCAATTTGTACAACAAGTACAAAACGATCTCATCGAAGGGGTGGAAAATACCATGATTCAATTTCATGAATTTGACAAACTTGTTGAATTTCGCTTTGTTCTCTTAGCTTATTTTATTAGTTTATACTAGCTTATTTTATTATTCACTTTATTATATCTTTACTTTTTCTGTTACTTATTTTATTAGGAACTAGCCGACGTTGCCTGGGCTTTAACGCAAAGTGATCAGGCCTAGGGAAATGGGACTAGTTTTTTCGAAATCTCAGGTAAAGAGCTATTTACTTCCTTTACCTGGCGCCATGTAACGATTTCAGTAAGCACAGATATTTAGTTTGCTAGGTGGAGAGTTAATTTCTTCATCGTTTTCAAATATTCGCGAAAACGTTATAGAGCGCGCACTTAAAGGTTATCTGAAAATCCATCTTCTATCCTGTCCTCCTGTGCTGCACTCATTCTACTCGTACTTGAAGCGCCCCCTATGGCACAGGAAGTTCTGACAGCATGAACTTTTCATCCTAATCTTGGCATACAGCGGAAGTTGGAACTAGCTGAAAAATTCTGATGATTACAGGGTTTTAAAGTGGAACACAACAATGCCTGATGTGAACCTAAGACGGGTGACGATACTTCAAACTCGAAGTTGTGCAAAAATATTAATTTTCATTTTTTGTAGAAAACACAATTATAAATTCTTTGTTTAGGATGTGTAACTCCCACTCATAACGAGAACGCAACAACGGTGACTTAAACCTAAGGTGTGCGTCGCATGCACAATGTTGTTACATATACGATATGAGCGGACTCCGTGCAGTGGGTTTTTGAGATCGCGTGTAAACAGTGAACCTTCTCTTGTTTTGAAGGTCACAAACAAACAGACATTCTTTTAACATATAAAAATGATTTTAATGAACCCAGCTAGTGTAATTAATACGAATAGAAATAAATATGCGTTTATTGCTTTTAAATCGCTTATTTTGTTAATTAGTTACAGAATAAATACGAAAGAAAAATTATCTTACGCTTCGCTAAACGTTAATTTTGGCATTGGCAGCACATTTCTCTTGAACCCTTGATTTTGTCTATTCAATTTGAAAGAGAAATAAATATATTGCGTTTTGTAGAATGGCAACACACTTCTTTTATATCGCCAAGTTTTTCGATTAAATTAGATACATAAGTATCTCGCAGTATTCAGAGCGGCAACGCAAAGCCTGTAAATTTCCGAGTTGTGTTATGTAGAGAAATTATCTGATAGCGTTATAAAAAATTAGGTTAATGATTTTATGATTTATGGAAGTTTGAATAAATTTGTATTTTGATTCTGAATTATTTAAGTTTAAGGCTTTAATTTTGGGGAAAAAGCAGATGCTTCGGGAAATATTATTTGGTATAAATGAATATAAATAAATATTATTTATTTTCTTTTATTTGCAAATCTTGTACAAACTTTTATTCATTGTGAAAGAAGGTAGGGGAAAGGGAGGCAATTTTCGCCAAGTCATGATTTCGCGCGCTTTAGAATGTTCGAGAAAGAATTTTCATTGTTAGTTGACCTTAAGAGAGGAAAGTACGTGACGGAAAGGTCAAAGGTTGCTACTTGTCTTTCAATGTAAGTCATTCATGTTTTTGGCGATTGAGGGTCCGGTTGTTGGCTAAGTGAAGAAGGGCGCGCATGCGCGATCACCCTTATTTCCGCATTCTGGAGTTGAAAACGAAGATTTTGCCATAATTAAGGGGGCGATAAGTGAAGCCATAGTGGGAGCCCGTTTTTGTGAAGGAGATGAAGAAAATTGGAGTTGGATACACACTTACTCTGGACACACTTTCTCTGGACTCACTTACTCTTGGACTCGCTGACTTTCGGGTTTGCTGGACTTGTGGACGTTGCTCTTGAAAACTGGCTTGAAGAAAATTGGAGTTGGATTCTCTCCCTTACTGACTGGTGGGTGGAACTTACTTGGGACGTTACCCGTGAAGCTTGCTCTTGGGATGAGTAAGAACAGGCGAGCAGTAATTTCCTAGCAACAACGTTTCTGACCGGCGAAATTTGAACGAGTTACCTGCGTGTTGACATAGGACTTTCAGGACCAAGCGGATAGCCGTCCTGGGCAGCAGTGCTCCTGTTTCTGTTCTACAGTAGTGAAGTGGAGTCTACATTTTTAGAACCAGTGTCAAGATGAGCCCGGCCGACATCAACGCGGGATAAGATAAGAGTCCTCCGCTTCAAGATGTCCCTTCAAGATAAGTTTTATTTATTTATTTATTTTATTTTTTTTTTTTTTTTTTTTTTTTTGGTGTGTTTGAACTTTAGGCAAGCTTTTCAAAAACGTCCTTAGCAGAAAAAAAAACAACGTCAAATCTAAAATTTAACTCTCAGGCCTTAAATTGTTTCCCTTTCCTTTCTTTTAAATCACCAGACAAACCTTAAGTTTTTTATGAATTTAAATGAACAGACTCTCAGATGAGGTTAAGATTTTTCTTATTGTGTTGTAATTGAATAAACTGATATTTAATCTGGAACCTCTTACAGTATGTTTTCTTTATATATTTAATATGAACTTTTCCTTTATATCTTGTATATGTTTTATGTTTTCGATCCTCTCACGGCGCGGTCCCGGAATGCATTTTTTTTACAACGCAAAAATGCTGTACACGTTTCACTATACGATTACTACCTTTAACGGCAAGTAGTTTCATATTTAACATTTTTATATGAATTTAAGATATAACATTGGTGCCGTGAAGTAAGATTCATAACATTATTTCCCAGCGTGAACTTAAGCTATTTAACAGTTGCTAAGCGACAGTTCGTTAAATTAACGTAGAATATTAGTGCATAAAGAGAGTGGACACCTTAGGACACCATTCGTTTGTTTCCACGGTCAAGTGAGCTAAATTTCAACAAAATCTGAAACATTTGGAGATTCGTATGAAATACGAAGGTAGGTTCACTTTTGTTTACTTATACAGATGTTTTATGCTTAAGGGTAGATGTTAATTAACAACTACTGAACTATAAACACAAATTACGCTGGCTTAAAATTGGGTTACAGGTAAATAGTGGTTTTTTGCTTGCTTTTTCAAATTCTACCTTCTTTAAATTTTGTAGCATTTGATGTTTCTGAATACTCTTTGTAAAACTACTTTATCAAACGCATTTCTTGAAAATCAATGCTCAGACTTCTGCTTGAGTTTATATACCTTTCCCCATCACTCTTACTACCTCTACTAGATAAAATATTTTTTCTCATTTAACGGGAAAAACTGCCGACTGAACGATATCTGCTTCATTCAGGTGGCAAGAAATATGCCAACTTTTGCAACAGATCTACTTCTTTTCCCAGATGGATCGATTTTTTTTTTTTTTTTTTTTTTTTTTTTTTTTTTTTTTTTTTCTTTGTATCCCCAGTGGAGTCGAAAGGA